AATTCTTCATGCGAATGTTCGAAGTATACATAATAAATACTTAGAAATCGAAAGCTTAGCTAATGAACAAAACTGCGACGTGTTGTGTTTGACGGAGACGTGGGGTAAAAACCATCAAATACAGGCGATGTCTATTGAAAACTATACACTCGCGACTTGTTTTAATAGAATAATTTTTGAACACGGCGGAACGGCGATATATGTAAAAAATACTTTAGAATATAAAATTAGGAACGACATAAATAAACTATCATTTGAAATGAATTGTGAATTAGTAGCAATAGAATTAAGATCCTCAAAAACAATAATCATTGCACTTTACCGACCTGACTATGATATGAGTCTATTCTTTGAAATACTTACAAAACTTTTATATAAACTTTGTCAAGAGAACAAAAAAATTGTAATAGCAGGTGACTTGAACTTAAATGTTTTAAAAATTGACGCAAATATTAAAAAGCTTGATGGAATACTTAAAAATTTTAATTGTAAATGGATATTAAACGAACCAACTAGAACCCAAACAAATAAACGAAATAAAACCAGTTCTACTTGTATAGATAACTTTATTGTTAATTTTAATGAATGTAAAGGATGTGTATTAGGTCAAAAACTTTCTGATCATAATGTAATTAAATTAGAATTAGTTAATCAAAAAAACTGTAACAATAAACATGAAACTTATATAGGCAGAAACTTTTCAAGGAAGAATCTTGATTATTTTAATTATTTATTCAACAAAAATTACACTGGGATTAAATCAGAAATTGTAATGACGCAACGCGAACGCAAGAATGAGAATTTTACATGAAGCGCTGCACCATTATTACAACATTGCTTTTCCAAAAATAAAAAAAACAAGTAAGGAGCAAATATAAAAAATGGACTACATTAGGTATAGAAACTAGTAAGAAAAACTTAATTAAAATGGAAATATTACAAGAGCACTACCCTACCCAACAGAGAAAATTGAAAATTAAAAAAATATAAGAAATTATTACTAAAAACAATGATACCGCAAAAAAATTACAATATCGTATTAGGATTACGAAGGCAAAAAATAAAATTAAAGAATCGTGGAATATTATAAATGAGCAGGTAGGGAAAAATAAACGGCAAAATATAAAATCTAGAATTGAATCGATAAAAAACGATAGTGGGCAAATTATTACAGAATCTCAAAAAATTGCAAGAAGTTTTAATGATTTTTTTCTGCAATATAGCACATAGATTAACGAGTAATTTAGAAATTGACGCAGAAAATTGCATGAAATACTTAGATTACTCCAATAGGCCACTAACATCTATTTATTTTTACCCATTAGATTATACAGAGCTAAACAACATTGTTAATAGCATGAAGCAAAAATCTACATTAGAAATTTATAATATGAGCACTAGGACATTAAGAAATCTTATTAGAAAGAACAATAATTTATTCGAATTGATATTTATTGTTGTCAACTCGTGCTTAGCTAATGGCATATTCCCCGACGTACTCAAACCAGGTAGGGTTGTTCCACTTTTCAAAAAAGGGGATTCCACAGAGCTCAGTAGTTACAGGCCAGTTTGTATATTGCCGGCATTATCAAAAATATTAGAAGCCATCATAAAATCTAGAATTATAAGGTACTTTGAAGAAAATCATTTATTTACAACGGCACAATTTGGATTTAGAAGAGGAAGATCGACCGAAATGGCCATAAGAAAAGTAATTTATTTCATTCTAGAATCTTTGGACAGCTCGAATAGATGTGCCAGTATTTTTTGTGACTTATCAAAGGCTTTTGATTGCTTACGGCATGATGTATTATTATTAAAATTGCAGCATTATGGTTTTCAAGGAGCTGAACTGCATATGATGAAAACTTATTTAAATAACCGTAGCCAAGTTGTTTCAGTAAATGACCAAACTTCTTCAGTGAGTTTTGTATCGATCGGAGTACCACAGGGTTCAATTTTGGGTCCTGTTTTGTTTTTGATCTATATTAATGATCTTGGTAATGCAATGCCAGACTATACATATTTAAGTCTATTTGCAGATGATACACATGTAGGTTTAAGAGACAAAAGTCTATCAAATTTAGAAAACAAAATTAATAATGTTATATGCTTGCTAAAAGAATGGTTTAGCGCAAATGGTATTATTCTAAATTCCGATAAAAGCATTGTAATGCATTATCAATCGAGGCTAGGCATTTATGGTAACTCGGCTACAAAAGAAAATGTATTTTTAGGGTATACAGTAGATAACACAATCAACCATAAAGCCCACATTGAAAAAATTTGTAAGAAAATAGCTAGCGGTAATTATGCATTGTTTAAACTCAAGCCATTATTAGATAAAAAGACACTCATATCTGTGTACTATGCCTATATTCATTCAATAATAAGGTATACCATTACTATTTGGGGTAATGCTACGGATATTATAAAAGTCTTAAAATGTCAAAAACAGTCTATAAGAATAAATAATAGTAAATCAATGCAATCTGCGTTATAATGAAAAACGTGTTCTACCAATGAATAGATTAATCAAAGTAAAAAAACAAGGGCGTTACTCAAAAATATTGATGTATAATAAATTACCAAAAAGTATAACCAGCCTAAACTATAGCATATTTAAACGAAAACTTAAGTATTTTTTTGAAAATAACCCAATTTACAAATTAAGCGAATACATGTCAATGCAACTCTTTGAATCATCATTCTTGTGCAAAGTGCAAACAAAATAACTTACCTAATTCTATTACTAATTCTATTACCTAGTACAATAATGTAATTAAATAATGTAATTTAACCTTATAAATTTAAGAACTTTTGTAACCAATGACTTGCCTGTAACGATTGTTATATTATGGCCATTAAATATTTCTGATTCTGATTCTGAAGCAAATTTTAACATCATCGTTTTTATGTAATGTATACCATTAGCTAAAGTTTTTTATAGCATATTTAGCTGGTACCCGGCGCATTGCTACCATAAAAATATTGTCAAAATATCAATTTGGAAGAGTTATTGTACATGCCCCTAGCTGCCCCAGCCAAGGATGACGGGATTAGGGCCCATGAGTAATCCCATCGACGAGCAGCAGAGGGACGGGGCCAGAATATGGCCACGTGGATTTTCCCAATTACAATTAACAATATGGGAGAAAGCTAGAAACACGTAGTACTTACCATTATCCGAAGCTAACTTCGCACCAAGGCTTGGGCAGGCCGTGAGTGTGTGTAATAGTGGATGGCGAGTAGTGTACAGTGAGGTGTGAATGCGTGGGGCCTTGGCAAGCATAGGCGACCAGCAGCAGTCGAGTTCCAGGCTGCTCTAAATTGAGGTCTTCCGCGGCGTTGTCCACAGTCACTTTCCTCGTTCGTCACGATGACAGTCCATTAACTCTATCGTACGATTAACTAACTTACAGAAGCCACTAACTTTCGTTTGTCATAAGGTTAACGCACAAAACGAACACGGAGTGTCCGGATCAAAGGTCATTACCGTTTCGCGTAGCAACAGTTATTTCTAGAATATCAAAGGCCGCACTAGATAATATTGTCGAATGCACCTATACAGATTCCGAGTCAAACCCAATGAGTCCCGGGGAAGCTCTACAGCAAGGAATACGCGTCACAAATCCTAGACAGTACATTTACGAGCCGCGCCTAATTATTCCGAGTTCCCGACAAAAAATGACAGCGTGCTGTCCCAAGCACAGCTGGCAGACGACTCTTTCGCCTTTACGCGTTGTCAACCCACCGCTCGGCCGACGTCAAAACCGGTATGGCACCGAGCCGCGCGCCCTCTCACGTTAGTTCCTGAAATTAGTGTTTGGCGCGAACAGTTATATTGTTTAATTAGGAATGAATACATTATACATAATTTTCAAATTAATTTATTTGTAAGTGTTCGCGCCAAACACTTTCAATGATTGACGCGAGAGGGCTCTCGGCGCGGTGCATTCATACCGATTTGACTTTCGGTCGTGCGAAAAACGCCCAAGTGCAGTCAGTCGTCCTTAGGCAGTGCTCACGATTGGCACGCTGCCAATTAAGCGCGGGAACTCGGAATAATTAAGCGCGGACAGTAAAATTACGGTCTAGGAATTTTGTGGCGCGTATCCCTACTGGAGAGCTTCCCCGGGACTTATTGGGTCCGACTCAGAATCTGTATAAGTGCATTCGACAATATTAGCTAGTGCGGCCTCTGATCTTCTAGAACTAACTGTTGCAACGCGAAACGGTAGTGACCTTTGATCCTGTAAACTCCGTGTGCGCTTTGTGAGTTAACCTTATACCCAGCGATAGTTAGTGGCTTCTGTAAGTTAGTTAATCGTACGATAGAGTTAATTGACTGTCAACGTGACGAAAGAAGAAAGTGACTGTGGGCAACCTCGGAAGGCCCCCTCAAGTTGGAGCGATGTCGACGCTCGGGCTGCTGCCGACGGCCAAGGTCTAGGTTCAATCACCATCAGTCACACCCAGATACACATCACATCACTTATTTCCCTTTCACTACATAACCACATGTGACCTGACTAACTCCGGAGGGACCAGTCGCCTTGGATATAGGTAAGTAAGCTCCGCCTAATTCCTCTGCCGGTCGACTGGCCGTAGTATAGAACGCTCCCCCATATATTTTAGTGTAATTCGAGAGATTCCACGTGGCCACATTGAGGCCCGACCTACGTCTGTTCGGGATGTCTTCAGCTCATGGGCCCCTGAGGATTGGACCTTTAAGGGAGCAGCCGTAGGCCGTAACAGTAAGATACGCGCGTCACCTATTGTTAGTTAATTATACTATGCCTATAACCTTTGCGCGGGTGTAAGCTATAAGTTGGTAAAGTTTTAGCGCAATCTGATAAACGATATGACAGCGCTTAAAAATTAATTTTTATATATATCATAACTATAACTATTACAGAATAGATAACGACTAGCATTTGATGACTACTATGATAACGGATTATTTTAACTTTAGAGAAAAAATTAAATTATAATTTCAGAGAAAACAGTATGGAGACGGCAGGCAAGCAGATTTCGACAGACGACGACAGCGTATTGGTACTAGAGGTGCCACTCGGCAGTACTCGGGTAGTACTCGGCCGCAAGCGATACGGGGACCGGTTAGTATGTGTCTTTTAAGTAGAAATTGCATTATATGACTATGTAGGAATTTTCATTATTTTCTATTAATGTTAACTATTACAGAAAATCAACATGTCTAACTATACTGAAAAGAAAAACATGCTGTTCGGATTGAATAGCGCTCCGGCTACTTTCTAACCATTGATGGACTGACTTTTTACTATAAATGTTTTACACTAACGTTTGAGTACGATTTTAAGAATTTGTTTTCTCTTATTTTTATTCACTACCTTCGGCGCATAAGTAAATTGACGTGCATGTGGGCAGATCGCAGCTGTGGCGGCGTGGGCCAGGTGGGCAGCTCGTGCACGAGGGTAGTTCACCGCCGCAGCCCACTGACGCCGCACTGCCCGATGATCCTACTCTTTCACCGCACGCCATGGTGAGCTCTTCCATCTCTATTCTTATCCATTGCATGCAGGGGGGCTGCATTTCATGAGACCGATTACGACGTCGAAAAACTCCTAAATACATTCTAACGCTAATTACTGCGTCATAAATGGATTTCAATCTGATAATCGTATAATTTCTTCTGGCGTGCGGCAGGGCTCAAATTTAGGCCCAATATTATTTAATCTATTTATAAATGACATTTCTGGTTGCTTTCAATTTTCGGAACCCTACATGTATGCAGATGATTTAAAGTTTGGAAGAATAATTGAATCTATAGAAGACTCAGTATTGTTACAGAATGATTTAAATAGACATTGGTGTAATCTTAACGGCATGAATCTTGATTATTTTAAATGTCCACCCGTTAAATTTACAAGGAATTCGAAATTAATCAATAATTTATCATTATTATATAGGGAATAATAAAATACAAGAAGTGGAAGTGCTAAGAGACCTTAGTATATGTTTTGACAAAAAACTTTTTACCTCATATTGATAGTACCATAAATAGATCTTCCAAAATGTTAGAGTTTGTCATAAGAAATGGTAGATCATTTAAAAATCCTAAAAAAAAAAAATATTGTACAATAGCATTGTCAGGAAACAGAAACAGAAACAGAAACAGAAACTTTTTTATTCAATATAGATTATAAATAATACTTATTGAAAGTCACTCTTTTGTTGATTACCACTGGTTCGGAAAAAACCTCTGTCCTGGGAAGAACCAGCGAGAAACCCAGCGGGACTTTTTTTAAATAACAGCTTACAATCATGATGTTACACAAATTAACAACACAACAAATTAGAAATAGCTTGGTAGCGATCACCTCATTTCCAGGGGTTATTATCATCCATAAATTCCTTAATATTATAATAACCCTTTTTATACAAACTTAGTTTAATAAAGTTTTTGAACTTTGAACAGGTCAAACTTTGTATATTTTCTGGAATTTTGTTGTAAAATCGCCCTAAGAATGAATTACTGACTCGATGGAGTCGAGTAACTGGTACTACTAGCTTGTGTCTGTTCCTAGTATTAACAGAATGAATATCACTTATTTTTATAAAACTACTTTTATTTTTGTGTACGTACATTACATTTTCATAAATGTATTGAGAGGCCAAAGTTAATATATTAATTTCCTTAAATTTTTGTTGCGACTCTTTAGGCTTTAAATCATAAATTGCTCTTATGGCCCTCTTCTGCAAAACAAATATAATTTCAGTGTCAGCTGCCTGTCCCCAGAGCAAAATACCATACGACATCATGCTATGGAAGTAGCTGAAGTAAACTAGTCTAGCTGTTTCAACACTGGTTAGACTTCTAATCTTTTTACAGCATATGCTGCAGAACTAAGTCTGCTTGCTAGTTTTGATATATGGGGGCTCCATTGAAGCTTCGCGTCTAGTGTGATTCCAAGAAAAATGGTGGTATCTACAAGACTCAGTTTCTCCCCATTTAAAATTACATTAGTATTTAATTGTTTGACATTTGGAGTCACGAATTTCATACATTTTGTTTTAGTGCAATTTAAATGCAAATTATTAACATCGAACCAATTTACTAATTTAGATATAGCATTATTTACTTCGTCATATTTTAGTAACTGTCGACTTAATTTGAAAATTAAAGAAGTGTCATCTGCAAATAATACTATATCATGGTTATCCCCTACTATGTAAGGTAAGTCATTAATGTATACAAGAAACAGAAAGGGGCCGAGAATTGAGCCTTGAGGCACGCCCATTTGTACCATCGATCCGGAAGAGCTCATATTATTAATGACAACTTTTTGCGTTCTCTTACTTAAATATGAAATAATTAATTTAAGGGCATCACTTCTTATATTAAAGTATATAGATATATATATAGATTATAATGAAGTACTGCAGTGTTGTTTTCCACCCGCTTTCAGAAATTCTGCTGTAATTCCATCCCCGCTCGGGGACTTGCCGTTTTTAAGGTGCAGAACCTCCTGAATAATGTGAAATCAACAAGCTTGATTTAAACCCATCTAAATGTACCTTTATTACGTATTCACGCTAGCGAAACGGTTCATTTCGGCTATCAATATGCAATATTTTGCATACGAATGATCGCATACTTATATACTATACGTGGTACTGTAAGTACTATACGTGGTAGAGTCATGTTATGGCTATATTAGTGGTATAGTTGTAGCACGAATAGGTCGGCTCGGTCGGGGAAGGGCCACGCTCTCACAGAATACCAGCGTAAAATAGCTGCTTAGCACTACTGTGTTTCGTATTGTGAGTGTAGAGAACTGGAGACCTTTTTTACTGGAAAAGAGGCATTCCATCGTAGTGCTCACGGGCATGAAGCAAATACAAAGAGGAGACGTTGTAATTAAATTTCACTATGTAACAACGCGTGACAATTTGCGGGGTGAGGGGATGCAAAGCCCCGCCCACTTTACACTATTCTACATCTACCGATAAATAGTAAAACTACTCGAATCTTTCCATATCGATGTTGCAATGTAGCTTATCTATCTTGACGGTAGATGTCGGCATGTCCACAAAATGTTATAAACTATAAAAATAATATATTGGCGATTAAAATTTCTTTATGTCTGAATGCAAAACAAATTTTAGCACCTTCGTATGATTATTTTATCATTACTGAGCTCTACGTACCTTTATATTTTTAGTTCACAGGGCACAAAGTTTCGCCATCTAGTGTGGAATATATTTCATTAAATTTGAAAGCCGACGCACAGAGATTTTTCTAGAACTATTTTAATAAATTAGGTGTAAAATTACTTACAAATGAAATGTGATGCCATTCATAGCATCGGAACGTTTACCTCATTAAGCAAATACATTCAGACAAAGAAATTTTAATCGCCAAAATAATATTTTTATAATTTTCATAATAATTTTGGGAACAGGCCGCCATCTATCGTCAAGTAAACCTCATAAAAAATAACAAAAAGACAGGTCCGCAATTAGAAATCAATTATTTTACCCAGTAACCCAACATTCAATGTTAAAATGAAGGAAATTGTACATGGCTGATTTTTACGAAATGTTTAAGTTTTATTTAAGTGACATTCTATATGCAAAGAATCACTTAAATACAATTTAAATATGTTTATCATTTCGTGAAAGTCAACCTTCAAGAAATATTTATTTTATCCATAAAATAAAGTCTCTTTGAAACTAAATATTCTATGTTCAATATTAAGTAGGATATTTAATTTGGAACTAAATATCCTACTTATCTCACTAATATTATAAAGGCGAAATTTTGTGTGTTCTTTCTGTCTCCTTGAGCTTATTCCACACTAAGTATGTGTAATTTTTTCACGCATAAACGGCTGGACTATTATTTATGTGTGGGTTATACTACTTAATATCTCTGAGGGAGAACAAATAATAGACAAATTATTATAATTAATATAATTTTATTTACAAATCAATTAAAATATAAATATTTTATTCCAAATTAGGCATCCGAATGCACTTTTTGAATGCTAATCTAAGAACATTAAATTGTATTTAAGTGATTCTTTGCATATAGAAAGTCACTTAAATATAACTTAAACATTTCGTAAAAATCAGCCTAAGTACAATTTCCTGCATTTAATATTAAAAGTTGGATTACTGGGAAAAATAATTGAATTCTTATTAGGGCCCTGTCTTTTTGTCATTTTTATGAGGTTTACTTGACGAGAATACGGCCTGTTCTCAAAATGATTATATAAAAATAATATTTTGCGATTAAAATTTCTTTATGTCTCAATGCAAAACAAATTTCAGCACCTTCGTATGATTATTTTATCAATACTGAGCTCTACGGACCTTTATATTTTTAGTTCACATGACACAAAGTGTCGCCATCTAGTGTCGAATATATTTAATTATATTTGAAAGCCGACGCAAAGAGATTTTTCTAGAACTATTTTGATAAATTAGGTGTAAAATTATTTACAAATGAAATGTGATGCCATCAATAACATCAGAGCGTCTATCTGAGTAGTTTTTACACAATAAAACACAACACTTCATCCCTTTCTTCTTAATACTACGAAAATACACCGATTTGCGATTTTTTCAACACATAAGCGCACAGGACGAATGCTGACAGTATACTAACTAAAGCCACGCCCACTATGATGACGTCAGGACCTACTTAGAATCACAGTGCACAGTTGCTTATGCCGTCTCCCCTTTGTATTACCTTCATGCTCACGGGTGACAACGCATATGCATTTTGATTTTTTATTGATAATAGATGTAGATGTCTATGGGTTACAGTAACCACTTACCATCAGGTGGACTGTGTGTTCGTTTGTCACTCTATCCTATAAAAATTATTTCTCCCCTTCCTCCACTTATCCTATCTCTTTTCAATTCTATTCTCTACCTATAATAACAGTTAGACGAAAAATATATTGCGCATCGCGGCCGTATATTCGAAATGTTATATCTGTGAATATAAATGTGATTTTGCGCCGAATTATTACGTCGCTGGTGAAGGGCGGTTAACTGTTTGCCTGTGTTCTGTGCCGATTGTAACAAATTACCGTTTTACCTTGCAGTGGCGGTGTAAGAATTTCACTACCCCATGTCGTGCCGTGGATGCCGTAAGAGGCGACAGAAGGAAACAAATCAGAAAGTGGGCAGCAGCGTCTTCTTAAGGATGACAAATAAAACTGCGGTTGCCAACTCGCTTGCTAACGTGGCAACTATGGCAAATATCCTCCTATGAGTCAATCTATAGGGGAGGCCTGTGTTCGGCAGTGGACTTAATTAATTAATTAGGTTGTAACGGTTGTAATGAAATATCGAAACTTAGTAGATGGACCGTTTTGTCACTGGAGCTGTGTCCTGGTGGTCGCAGGTGCTGGACATCGAGGAGGCGGCGCCGCGGCCAGGCGTGGCGAGCGCGCTGGTGCTGCGGCGCGCGGACCCGCGGCGCCGCTCCACGCAGCGCTGGCGCCTGCTGCCGCCCGGCCGCATGGCCTGCGCGCACGCCAACCTGTGCGTGCAGCCGCACGCCGCGCGCGCCGGCCTCATGGCGCTTGTGCCAGGTACCGCACACGCTGCATACGCTACACACGCTGCACGGCCGCATGGCCAGCGCTCACGCCAACCTTTGCGTGCAGCCGCACGCTGCGCGCGCCGGCCTCATGGCGCTCGTGCCAGGTACCGCACACGCTGCACACGCTGCACACGCTGCACACGCTACACGCTGCACGGCCGCATGGCCAGCGCGCATATAAAACAGTGTGATTTACCATCTAGGGCTTCATCACCACTTACCACCAGGGATTGTGGTCAAGCACTGTTTTATAATAAGAAGTCGTTATGAAATGATAAAATAAGATGTGTTGGTCCTACGAGCAAACCACGAATATTCATTAACTTTTATGGTGGCGTGCAGGTGCGCGGGTGGTATTAGGGCTACCAGCAAGTGAGCGTGCTGGCGCGCTGGCGGGCGAGCAGGCGGTGAGCTGGCACGCGCTGCGGCCCGGCTGCGGCCGCCTCGACGTCACGCTCAGCTGCGCTGGCCCCACGCGCCTCGTGCGCATACACGACCACGAGAACCCGGTATGTCTCTTCACCCCTCCCCTACTTTTTGACTTGAACTATCTATCTTTGTGTTTAACTCTTTTGCCAATGATTTGTTTTAAGACGCAATTATATAAGCATATGCGTGTGCGTGTGTGTAGGAGGCGGGGCGCATTGAAGACGAGGAGGAGGAGGAGTGCGGTGCGTGCGAGGAGGGCAGCGAGTGGGGCGTGCGCGTGGCGGTGGGCGGGCTGGGCGTGTCGCTGGTGGTGGGCGCGCCGGCCGCCGAGCTGCTGTACGCCACGTGCCGCCGCCTACGCCTGGAACTGGCGCGCTCGCCCGCCGCCGCGCTGCTAGCACTGCAGCTCGATGACCTGCAGTGGGACAACCAGGTCACACCAACAGTTTACACCATTCAACTATCTTTATTTATTTACTAACTGTCCCCCGCGACTTCGTCCGCCTGGAATTTACTGCGATTGAATTTCATAGGTTTTTTTTTATTTTTCCTCGGAACTCTCAATTCTTTTTCTACAATAAAAGTGGCATAGGTTACTCCTTATGATATCAGCTACTTGCTAGTGAAAGTCCCGTCAAAATCGATCGAATCATTTCGGAGATTAGTCGGAATAAATACACATACAGACAGACAAAAATTTTAAAAATTGTTTTTTTAATAAGTACCATACCTATATAATTCCATATATTATGCATTTATTAAAAAGCTGTTATTTTCACATTACAAGCAGACAGACTTATTTATAGTTAGTTAAACAAAACTGTACAAAGGCGGACTTAACGCCTTAAGGCGTTTTCTACCAGTCAACCTATAAGCACTTGACTATAAATATATACAGTCGTCCGATAAAGACGTCTAGGGAAATTGTGCGGTGCGTGAGAGGTGAGACGCGAGAGGGGTGAAACCGAGATGATCACGCCAATCTTATTAATTGCTGGACCCGACTTCCAGTGCTCACGCGTGTTTGTTTTTATTATTGTTAAATTAAAAAAAATTGTGGATTTTTTTTTTATAGGAGAGGGGGCAAACGAGCATGCGGCTCACCTGATGGTAAGTGACTACCGCCGCCCATGAACAACTGCAACACCAGGGGAATCGCATATGCGTTGCCGGCCTTTTAAAAAGGAGTACGCTCTTTTCTTGAAGGTCCCTAAGTCGTATCGGTCCGGAAAAATCGCTGATGGTAATCGATTCCACAAGGAGGTCGTGCGAGGAAGAAAACATCTTCTAAATCGCACAGTGGTGGACCGCCAATTATCCAGATGGTGTGGATGGTATCGGGAGTTCTGCCGCGATGTGCGTTCGTGAAATTTGGCGGCTGGGATTAATCCGAATAATTCCTCAGAGCACTCCCCATGGTAGATGCGAAAGAAAATGCAAAGGCATGCAACATCTCTTCGCAGTGCCAATGAATCGAGCCGATCGGAAAGGGCTCGGTCGTCGACAATTCGAGCCGCTCTGCGTTGGATGCGGTCAAGTGGAAGGAGCTGGCACTGGGGAGCCCCTGCCCAGAGATGGGAACAGTATTCCATGTGAGGCCGAACTTGCGCCTTGTAAAGTAGCAGGCGGTGTGCCGGCATGAAATACTGTCTCGCTCTGAAAAGCACGCCAAGCTTTTTAGAGGCCAATTTGGCCTTCCCTTCCAAGTGACCACGAAACTGCACGTCACTCGATATGTCGACTCCGAGGATACCGATACTGGCTGAGGCAAGAAGAAGAGTGCCTTGAAACTGAGGAGATACGACAAAGGGGTTCTTTTTAGCGGTAAACGCGCAAACTTGTGTCTTCTGAGGATTAAATTGGATTAGATTTAGTCGCCCCCAATCCGAGACTTTGTTCAGCAAAGACTCGACTTCAGACACAAGTTTGTTCCGGTACTCAGCGACGTTTTCCCAAGAAATATTGGCACGGCCGGTGTATAGAGCATCACCAGTGCTGTCATCCGCATAGCAATGAATGTTACCAGTTAGCAACATATCATTGATATGCAGAAGAAACAGCGTTGGTGATAGCACACAGCCTTGTGGAACACCAGCGTTAATAGGCTTGTAGTCAGAGCATGCACCGTCTACAACGACCTTGATGCTCCGATCTGCAAGGAAGCTGGTGATCCAATTGCACAATTTCTCGGGAAGCCCATAGGAAGGGAGCTTCGAAAGAAGCGCTTTGTGCCAAACCCGATCGAAGGCCTTCGCAATGTCCAAACTAACGGCCAATGCCTCCCCCTTGGACTCTACTGCCTCCGCCCATCTATGGGTCAGGTAGACCAGAAGATCACCAGCTGATCGACCCCGACGAAAACCGTATTGGCGGTCACTAATCAGCTGGTGATCCTCAAGGTACCGGATGAGCTGGCAGTTAATAATGGATTCCATTATTTTGGAGAACAAGGAGGTGATCGCGATAGGCCTATAGTTGGATGGGTCTGAGCGGTCACCTTTTTTAGAGATCGGGTGGACAAAAGCTGTCTTCCATGAATTCGGGACTACGCCTTGGGAGTAGGAGTACCGGAAAAGACGCGTTAGGACCGGTGCCAACTCCGGAGCACACGTCCTCAGCACAATTGGGGGGATTCCGTCAGGCCCACTCGACTTCTGGATGTCCAGGGAGAGCAGTGCTTTGCGAACCGAGCGCTGTGAGAACAGCACATCCGGCATGGAGCACTCACACCGCGGGATGGTCGGCGGTGTTTCCCCCCCGTCATCAAGAGTCGAGTTGGACGCAAAAAGGGAGCCTAAAAGGTCGGCTTTGTCTTTTGCGTCATGGGCCAGTGAGTCATCCTCCCTGTGCAGAGATGGTAGTGATGGCTTACAGAAATTCCCTTGGACAGCCTTGGCGAGAGACCAGAATGCACGGGTTCCCGAAGGAAGGCGAACTAGTTTCTCGCCAATTCTGCCTATGTGCTCTGACTTTGCCTTGGCAATAACTCTTTTGAAGGACCTGGAGGCGAAGTTATACTTCTTTTTAAGTGTGCTGGTATTTACATCCCGAGCCGCCGAAGCCGCAGCCCAGGCTTGATAACACTCCTGCTTACTGCGTAATGCAGTCTTACAGGAGCGACCAAACCAAGGCTGAGATCTGCCCCCGATGGGTACCACAGATGATGGAATAAATAGTTCCATTCCCTGTAGCACCACATCAGTGACAGAGTCAGCAACAGCGCTGGGATCATCCGGCGAGAAGCAAACCCGCCCCCATGGGTAGGATGCAAAGAAGGACCGCATTCCGTCCCAATCCGCCGACCTGTAATGCCAAACACGGCGGCAACCTGCAGAACGCAACCGCGAAGGGAGCGTGAGTGGCACCACACTCCGGATCAGACAATGGTCCGAAGAGCCGAGAGGGGCATCGACGGAAACCTGATATCCGTCCGGATGAGAGGTCAGCAGAAGGTCCAACAGGGAAGGTGTATGATCCTCCACATCTGGAATCCGCGTAGGCGAAGTAACCAGTTGTGTCAGACCATATGCCAAGGCAAAGTCATAAACAGATCTCCCCGCATGATCGGTTAGACGTGAACCGAGCCATTCGGCATGGTGGGCGTTAAAATCGCCAAGGATCACGATCTCTGCGGATGGGACCTGTTATAGCAAGAAATCTGTAGCCATTTGGACGTGGTCGATGAGTCGGTCTGTTTCGGCATTACCGCTATGGGACCTATAGAGGCACCCGTAGACGCGCGGATGGTCGTCGCTGTCTACGCGTAGCCAAAGGATGGACAGGTCCGAACCTTCAAGACTGCCGAGGCGTCGAGAACAGATGTCCTCTCTGACATACACGCAAACTCCAGCCCGAGGCACAAAGGAATGCTCCAATTTGTACCCCGGGTAGGAGAGATACGAAATATCAGCCGGAGAGGAAACCTGCGTCTCGGTCAGAAAGAGCAAGGCCGGCTTCGCCGTCTCGAGATGGTAGTGGACGGCGTTTAGGTTAGAGTGAAGTCCCCTGATGTTGCAGAAATTCACGGATAGCGTGGCAGGGGTCGCCTTGGTGTTCTTGCTCAGTTTGCCCCTAGCAGTAATGCTTTTGAGCGGAACTTTGCCACCCCCAGAATACGCGGGGCAGCCTGAGCACCCACGCTCAGGATCGGAATAACATGGTCGTGGATGCTCAGCGAGGGATTCTCCAGGGGTGCTGGTACCCTCCTGGGGTAGTTCTTCGCGTAATTCCGCTACCATGTTGATGGGGGGGGGGGGGGGGAATTGGGCCTTCGGCCACCTGCACTCACCAGACGAAACGCAGAAGCAAAGCTTCTACTTCACGCCGGTATTCTGTGAGGTCGTGGTACCAACCCGGCTCGAGCCGACCCATACATGCAACAGCAAAAACTGCTGCGTGGCTCTACCACCGTTAAAGCTAGGAAACATAATTGATGTCAATCTTTACTTTTACTGGAAAGGTGGGGAAACTTTATCACAGAGTAAAGAGTAAGAACTAGAGGGGAAGCTTCCTAACAACGTCGAATATTTATACCTATTCTGATAGGGTTGTCACCCTATCAGAATAGGTATAAATGCATGTGAATATTTTAAGGAAAAAATAAAAATTTTATATAGTATAAAACAACATGTGTATTCATTGTAACTGTACACGCCCTTAGCTGCCCCAACAAACGTCGACCATACAGGGGCCCATACAGCTGTAGATTCGACGAACAACTAAGGGTGGGGCCTAAAGGCCTATGGAGACTTAACCTACACAATAGAGATAAGGCTAGGTAAATAAATAGTACGTACCTGGTTCCGAAGCTAAGACCGCCCCAAGGCTCGGTCAGGCCGTAGGTAGGTGTAGGTGCATGTAAAGTGGTGTGTAGTAGTGTTTATATATGTGACCTGCCCTAACTGAGGTGATCGGGCAGCGGCCTGGTCCCATGCTGCCCCACAATACTGTATCATTCCAGCAGGCGTCACCAATTGACAACTTCTTTCTTCATTTCACCATGTTCAGTTCATTCACACATTCAGTCCATCAACTTTATTGTACATTTAACTTCAAACTCAACTAATTCAACGTTCTTCGTAAAATCAAACACGTGACACCCGACACAAGTAACGGACAGTAGTTCAAAGTTCAATATTCAATGTTCCGTATTCATTTATCACCAAATTACAAATAAGGAACTAACGCGATCTCTTCCCGAGTCACAAGTTCAGCGTTACAAACCACAAAATAAATTCCTTCGTATGATATTAAATACTACGCCCGCATTAAGAATTCAAAATCCGCCTCGCTGACACGTAAACTAACTACAGAATCAACACACAAAAGGCTCTTAACGCGACGGTACAATTGCAACGAAATTACTCTAATCACTCAAATTCAATACAAGCCTCTTGTCACGAACGTACAACTTATACAAACTAATCCGAGGTGGTTTTCACGAAACCACAAATTAAACGCGCACAAATATTTATAATCTAGACCAAAAAACCAAAACTGGTCGCGCTAAATCGCTGCAGCGGTCACCACAAAATACGTTAATCGACCGCGCTGCTGCCCTCAAGCTACTGTCTCGCCCACGAGCGCCAAACGCCGGGAAGCTGCATACCGCTGCCCCCCCCCCCCCCCGGCGAGGCGCACGTCACCTCACACCATCAGGCGATTCGCTTGGTCAAACACGATTGGATGGCGTTTCAAATGACCATTTTTGGGCCTAAACAAACCCCCGTCCCGGACATAAGGACTTATGTCCGCGAGCAAACCGGCAAGCGGGACAGGGTCGCGACGGCAAGTTGCAAGACCGAATCTACAACCAAAACCTAGGCCACCGTAGGCACCCCATCACCATTTCTCACACCACTTATACCACACCTACTGTTTAGGCCTAATATTAAAAATTAAAACTTGCATTCAAAACTCGACTCGGCATGCCTCCGATGTTATCAAGGTCATCGCCTGCCCCCGCCCCCGCTCGCATTCCTTTCGAGGGCGCGGCTGCCGAGATCAGTATGAAAAAGGATTGTCGCGCGACGGCCGGTCGGTTTATTGTTTTTGGAAGTTAATATTGAATCGTTAAGTCGCGTGCCTCCTATGGCGTTGTCTTAATTTGTACGTTTCGTGACAACGATTGATTGACAAATGATTTTTGAGTTTGAGTGATTAACTTAACTTCGATTACCATTAATTTGCGTCGACGAGTTGCTTTGTGGCATTTTAATATCGTGCGAAGGAATTTTGCTTTATCGTGTGGAACGCTGAACTTTGTGACTCGAGAAGAGATCGCGGTCGTGCTCGTGGTTATAATTTTGTGCTAAGTGAACCTGGGACATTGAACTTTGACCGACCGTTCTTAAGTTGTGCAGCGTGTCACTTGTTTTAATTTCGATTAACGTTGATTTGGTTGAATTTGAGGTTAATTAAATGTACAATAAAGTTGATAAACTAATATAGTGAAATAAAAGCAGAAGGTTTCAATTGGTGAATGCCCACTGGAGGTATCGCACATTTTGGAGGAAAGCGGCGCCTGTGGGTTCGCTCTCAGAATACGTCGGTGCCGTCAGGTTACATCTACACACTTTCACACATTACTTACATACACCTCATTTACCACCTGACTTCGCCTTGTGGTTGACCCTACCTCTGGAACTCGGTAAGTTTTTGTTTGCTTATCCAGCCCTTATATATAATAAGTAGCCATAGGCCATTGGGCGAACTCTCTGGTTGCTCGTCGAGTGTATTACTGATGGGCCCTAATACAGTCTAAAGTTAATATAATAATTTGTCTATGTTTTGTAATTAAAATTGAAAGTGATATTTTACTAATTTTGATTCTTAGCTTCACATTATATCTATATTTCTATCAATAACATTTTCGTAAAACAACGTATTCATGAGTACAAAAAATCAGGTGGTGGTAGTAATGACTGTGATCATGGCCAGTGGGCATTCGCAGTAGTGGTGGTGTTGATACACCACCACTACCAATGATACTATCAGGATGATGATGACGGTATTAAGGGATGTGGTGGTGATGCTGGTTGTGATGGTATTGATACTGGTCTTGATGGTTTTTCCAGTAGTGGTGCACTGTCCACCACCACCAATGATACTACCAACACCAACACAATTACTGACACCATTACCAGGACGATCAGCACCAACATCCACCGCCACAAACACCGCGCGATCAGCACCACCGTCCACCATCACCAACACCAGCGCTACTACCACTTACAGTATCTCCACTACTGTCTGGCAATTGTATTATTTTTTCTCGAATTTTTCATACAGTATACTGTACAACATAGGCATTTATCTTATACGAACAATAATTATCTAATATAAAAGTAAAGTTACAGCCTATATACGTCCCACTGCTGGGCACAGGCCTCCTCTCATTTCTGAGAGGGTTTTAGGGCAAGGAACTGTCCGCCGCGCTGCCCCAATGCGTGTTGGCGAACTTCACATGTCTTCGAATTATCTAATATAAATATATATAAATCTATAATGTCTTACTTTATAGTACACAATCTTTAAACTTAACTCTAATTGTAAAAAAACTTTATTTCAATGCGCACGGTAAACAGCCCTTTCATTCATACTCCGAATGAGCCGGCGCAAACCGCTTTGTACCCCGACGGAGCGTCGGTGAACCTGTCGGTGAGAGCTCACACACACATCGCTGCGCTATGTGTGGGTGTACCCGTAGCGACACGTTTGTATTTAGCTTCCCCTCTGGTTGGTTTCTTTACTCATGTGACTTTAAACTGTGTTATAAGTAAATAGAGAACACTAATTTGGAAGTATACTATGGTTTGTAAGCGAAATAATTAAGGATCAATACAAAAATGAAGTATCACTAAGTGACAACTATTTCAAGTATAAATTATAAATAAATGAATATGGTTGTGCACGCAGCTGGCGGACGCGGCGCAGCCGGTGCTGCTGCAGACTCAGCGTGCGGCGGGCGGGGGCGGGGGCGGGGCGGGCGGCGGGGCGGGCGGCGCGCTGTACGCGGCGGCCGAGCTGATGCTGCGGCCGGCGCCGGCGCCGCGCTACAACGCGCGCTACTTCAACCGCGTCGTGGTCGCGCTGTGCCCTGTCGCCGTGCGACTCGACGAAAGGTTCCATCACTTTATTCTTACTAGCGATCCGCCGCGGTTTCGCACGTATGATGTCTAGATCTCGACAGTGGTGTCACCTACCCGGTCCATTTGTGGATCTAAACCATCAATGTAATGTATTCCCCACGACAATATTATATTAGTGTTAAATTTAGAATAAGAGAGTACACCAATTAAAGTCCCAGACAGATCAACACGCCTCTCATTGACACTTTTCCTACATTAGGTACATACTTATTGATTTTTTCACTTACGTGGTCGTAAATAAACGTGCTACTTCTATTAATCGCAGTCATAAATTAAACAAAAAAAAGGTTACTAAGTTAGTTAGTATTAACGTAGTTTCTTTTAGTCGTGGTTGAAAAAAAAGTCACCTAACTTTGACACTACTACTACTAAAAAAATATACTGTACTACCCCAGGCAAGTTACTTGTGTGTCCGTGACCACGGATTAGCGATATACTAGCTACTTATATTACAACTATTTTAAGACGTAAATATACTACACACAAGTGTTAATCCCCTTCCCCTCTATGTAGCAGCCATTTTTTTTTTCTTGATTCTCTACGTGTCTACAAAAAAAACATTTCTCAAAGTTTTGGTCTAACTGAGATAAAATAGGCTCATTTGGAGGACAACAATATTTTCTATCATTTACATTACGAAAAAATGGGTTCACAGACATACTTAAAAAAATATTTAAGTCCAAAAAATTTTTTACTAGATCGACAGATTTTGATCTAATTAATACAACCATTAAGCTTACAGCTGTATTTATGTCTATTACTTTAAGAATTATTGTTATTTTAACATAGCGTAGGCGCAAACACAAAAGACCTTTGTTAAGTGATATCTGGCACTGCCCGCTCTTGAATTGAATGCAGTGATGTATTCCATTCAAGAGCAGTCCGGAAATACTGCAAGCTACTACCGTAAGTGAGATGAAACAAGTTCCTCTCTCGAAAAATCACATAGTTTGCCAGTTGATTATAGTAAAATTATTTTGTCCGTGCAGTTGGGGTCATAAATCATAGCTTGGCCTCAGCCCGGCTAGGGCGGTGAACATGTTGCGCGGGCGCAACACCATTATCGATAAAAACAAATTTAATTTTAGATATAAGTTATTATCTTTATATTTATTTTTGATATAACTTTTACATTCTAAACATTTGTACTTATAGTTTTTTTTAATACATAGATACCTAATTAATAATTTATTTTAAATAATTATTATTCTTATTTTAATAAATACGTTGTTTTAATTATATTTTTTTTTAATTTTTATCACTAACCCACATAATGACAAAACTAAATACACTATCGATAACGCTTATCGACAACAATAATGCGTATCACTATGCTCGTCCCTAAGGCCCGCGAGTGGGAGAGATTTAAAAGCGAAATACTTTGATGATTTATGACCCAAACTGCACGCACAAAATAATTGTAGTATAGTTAAGTTAGTTGTTCCTCCCCTACGTTCTGATCGCTACTGATAATGTCCGTGCCGTTTACGCGCAGTATTACTGTTTATCGTTAAGAGTGTGATACAAATATGGAAAATCGGTCAATATTTAACGCAACTTATAGTCGACATACACTTTGTGTATGACTTTTGCAAATTACAAATCGAGTTGTACAAGAATATCGACGTAGGTACCCTAACAGGCCTACGCCGAGTCGTCAAACTTTTGTCGACGTGCACTCAAGATTAGCGAAAAGGGGCATTCAAAGGGCTGTTATTGAACGCGCTCGTTCGGTATCGCCAGAAGATGAAGAACAAGTGCTTAGGCTGTGACCACAGTTGCCAACATGAAAAGTGGTTGCCACATAGAGTGGACGCCTTTTGATTGACCAGCAGCAATGAATATCGTCACACTTAACAACGTGTTGTAATTCATAAAGTTCTTGACAACGAAATGACGTCTTATTGCGCTGATTAAGCGTCTCCCACACACAAGCGGCTTGCGGTGGCGGCTAACCGCGAGCCGCGGCTCCAGCCGCTGCAACAACACACCACCGCGGTCGCAACGGCGGCCTGAAGCGCCATTCGTTGAGGTGTCTGTGCTACAATTGGACGTCAGTAACATGACTAACCATGACGAAGTCAAAAAAAATATACGATAATATTCAGCAATATTATCGTATATTTTGTTTTTAATTATAATGCTGTTGTAATCACGATGCGAATTATCATAAAGTACTGGATAATTTTGCACTCTTTCTATTAAAATCTCTGAATTTAGTACCATTTTTCATGCGGTACACGCGGCCTCTTGTAAAAATTTGCAACTGAACGCGCTGCGGCCACCGACTAACCGCGTACTCGCTAACACACGCGTTGGCAGAAGGGGCGGAGCATGCGCCCGCGGCCAGCCGCTCGTAGATCGCGACAAGGCCGCACGGGTGTACATACTCACTTACATTGCAAGCAAATACAACTGGTCGCCACCGCGGCCGCCGCCGCAAGCCGCTTCTGTGTGGGAAACGCTTTATAGAGAAACAATTTTGGGGTACTCCAAGGAAGTATATTAGGTCTAATACTTTTTTGCTCTACGTAAATGCCATTAATCATGTGACAATTAATGAATCAATATTTTTTATCTGAAAATAATATATCGGTAGTTGTGACTTCGGACAGTCATCTTAAATTAAATAAATAAAAACAATTTAAGTGATAATTATTTAAAAAGAGAATTTGTTCCAAGGCTGATACTGCTGCTGTGGTCGTGGATAGAGCAGTGGCGGGGTGGTGAAGAGGCAGCCGAACAGCCCGACGAGGTGGAGTACGAGACGCGGCGCGTGCTGCACGAGCTGACCGCGCTGCACGCCGCCAGATACTACTGCGCGCTCCTCGAGCTGGTGCCCAGCCAGGTGCGTGCTGTGTGTCCTGCACCTGTCCTGCAGTCCTGTGCTGAGGTGGAGTACGAGACGCGGCGCGTACTGCACGAGCCGACCGCGCTGCACGCTGCCAGATACTACTGCGCGCTCCTCGAGCTGATGCCTAGCCAAGTGCGTGCTATGTGTCCTGCACCTACCCTGCATTCCTGTGCTGAGGTGTAGTACGAGACGCGGCGCGTACTGCACGAGCTGACCGCGCTGCACGCTGCCAGATACTACTGCGCGCTCCTCGAGCTGGTGCCTAGCCAGGTGCGTGCTGTGTATCCTGCACCTGTCCTGCACTCCTGTTCTGAGGTGGAGTACAGGACGCGGTGCGTACTGCACGAGCTGACCGCGCTGCACGCCGCCAGATACTACTGCGCGCTCCTCGAGCTGGTGTCCAGCCAGGTGCGTGCAGTGTGTCCTGCACCTGTCCTGTACTCCTGTGCTGAGGTGGAGTACAGGACGCGGCGCGTACTGTACGAGCTGACCGCGCTGCACGCCGCCAGATACTACTGCGCGCTCCTCGAGCTGTTGTCCAGTCAGGTGCGTGCTGTGTGTCCTGCACTCCTGTGCTGAGGTGGAGTACGAGATGCAGCGCGCACTGTACGAGCTAACCGCTCTGTACGCCGCCCGATACTACTGCGCGCTCCTCAAGCTGATGCCCAGTCAGCTGCGTGCTGTGTGTCCTGCACCTGTCCTGCACTCCTGTGCTGAGGTGGAGTACGAGACTTTGGTTTGACGTCGGTCTTTTAGGCCAAGTGTAAACGAGATGGTTATACACGTCTGGTGTAAACGAAATAGTTATACCACCATCTTTCGGAAGAAAAACAAAATTTTTAATTTTTATTATCTAGAAGTACCTAGACTTTTAAGTCGTAGTACATAGGTGCTTTTAGTACGCGGTCGCCATGGTAACGTTAATGTTATGGGCATGTTGACAGATCCGGCTGTCGATGTACACGGCCAGCAAGCTGGAGGCGGAGCTGAGCGCGCTGAAGAAGCGGCTGGGGCTGACGTTCGTGCGGTTCGAGGACGCGGCCGTGGAGCTGGAGCCGTTCGTGCGCACGCACGTGTTCGACACGGCCCAAGGCCTCGCCAGGCACACGCTGCAACACTTCAAGGACGTCAGTACCTCCTCCCCTCCTAGTCTTTATATTTCTTTTTTTTTTAAACTTAAGCATTTAATTACTTCAAAGATTGTTTCATTAATGTGAAAAATATGTTTCATCAGTGACCTCGACACCTTGATACCTGTTTTGTATGTATGACTTCATACAGTAATATGCTAAGGCTCGAATTCCGTTTTGATCTAATTTGAACATAAGCTGATCGTGTGATACGATGTTGAAAGCTTTTGACGTGTCAAAAAACATAGCCGTAGTAAATAGTCCGTCATTATCATTACAGCCCTTCACAAGTCCACTGCTGAACATAAACCTCCCCCAAAGAATGCCACAAAGCACGGTCCTGAGCCACCTGCATCCATCGACTTCCTGCATATCTTACCAGGTCGTCACTCCATCTAGTGGGGGGACGCCCTACACTTCGCCTGCCGGTACGAGGCTGCCACTCGAGAACCTTTCTTCCCTATCGGTTGTCGGTTCTTCGAGCTATATGGCCGGCCCATTGCCACTTCAGCTTACTAATCCGTTGGGCTATGTCGCTCACTCTGGTTCTACTGCGGATATCCTCATTTCTGAGTTTATCACGCAGAGAAACTCCGAGCGTAGCCCTCTCCATAGCTCGCTGAGCGACCTTGAGCTTCCTCATCCGGCCAGCAGTGAAGGACCACGTCTCAGTTCCGTATGTCATCACTGGCAACACGCACTGGGTGTACAGTCTCGTTTTCAAGTTTTGAGGTATACCTGGTCCGTCATTAATATTTTATAAAATATTTTTTATTAAATTAAATGCGGCCAGTGTCGCGGATTATGATTTTTGAAATCCATACTGATTTGGATTTATTCTGTTAAACTTGTTTAGGAAATTCATAACCTTTATGTGCATGAGTTTTTCAAAAAATTTTGATTCAATAGGTACTAATGTCACTGGACGGTAATTTTAAAATTTGTGTTTTTTCTTCTTTTTAATATAAGGGTTTTACAATAGACGCTTTTAATTTTTCTGGAAAGGTGCCAGATTCTATTGACAAATGAAATAAAAAGGCTGGCATCTTACTAATTTGATTTTTACACGCTTTGATAACATTTATACATATGTCATATAACCATTGTAATGTTTTTGAGAGATTTGACGACAGCTTAAGGGGCTACTCCATGCGAACGACCTTGAGCATTTGCCGGCGGCACGCAGCTCGTTTCAATATATTGCTTATTTAAGACGCCACCTATTATGTAGTATTATTTTTTCAACATCAATAAACTAATTTATGGAAATACACACAGCGTACAACGATAAATGTATTTAAATTTTTTTATTCGGTATATTAGTTGCATTATATTAGAATTATGTATTTTCATATATTATCTAATTATGAAATTTTATAATTAATTATATATTAAAAATGAAGCATTGAAAATTGTCAGTTTAAAAGATACCTATTCACTATAGGTAAATAAATAGATAGCTCGCCTTTTGTACAAATATTTGGTGCAATAAAGAATAAATAAATAAATAGGATGTTTCGTAGATGTGTTTTTGATTATTGTTAATTTTTACGTGTCACGTATTGAAAAGTAACATATCCTACCTACAAATTTTTGAACTGAGCACCTTGTAACTTAGCCTGCTTATTACTTATGCTGGAAGACATTATCCTCGCCCCAATGATTGATGAGGATGAAAATCAATTTTATTTCTACATACGTAATTATATTTATTTATACATAAGGATAACTTTAATAAAGGTAATACAAAAATCAACAAGAAGTATAAGGGTTCAATCTTTCAATTTCAATTGTAAAAAAACGTTACCCCCACACTAGGATTTTCTCCTGTGTCGTGGAGGCAGTTTACAAACATAAATTGCACAAGGATAAACATCCAGACCCGGAACAATTATTTGTAGGCCATACAAATACTTGTTCCGTGCGAGATTCAAACCCGCGGCCCCCAGCGCAACAACTGATTACTAAGCCACTACGCCACGGAGCCGTCGCCAGGTTATAGCTAAAGTGACCATACGTCCCGTTTTGAACGGTTTTGTCCCTTTTCTCGGTCACCTGTCCCATTGTACCCAAACAAAGCTCCGGGACACAAAATTGTCCCGTAACTAGTTGGATGGAAGTATTCAAAGTCAACAATCTTCAACATAATTTTTTTTAATCGAATATATTTTATGTCTACCTGGTACGAATGCTCCGGTAGAAAGAGTATTTTTTTATTTTGAATAAATTGTGGACGTCTGAAAGAAACACTTACGGTTCCATAGTTCTAAAGGCGATGTTGTTAACAAAGATAACAATAAAAAAACTTGAGCAAAATTTTATTTTTATTTAAAATCATCACCAACTTTATTAAAGCAAATTTAATCCACTTACAAATGTAATTAATAATTAAAAAAAATATGTTGCATTTAATAATTACCGTCTATACCAAATATAATTTTACAGTGAACACTAATTGTATAAAGTTATAGTTTTTAGAGTATAAATAAACCCATGTCCTGTTTTGAGTTAAAAAATAAATGGTCAGTTTAGTCTTTTTAGTTGTTTTAAAAATTTTTAGTTTATAGTAAAAAGTAGGTATATTAGTAACTACTTAGATACTTTTTACCGAATTATAAGTATAGAACACCTTATGTACTCAATTATTTTTTGAAAAAGAAGAAAAAACAAGCAATAAATAATATACTATATTTTAGCAAAAAACTATAGATTAGTAATACTAATTATAACTTAGAACATAAATGAAAAACTCATAACTGACTTTTTGGCCCGACCCAGGATTCGAACCCGGGACCTCATGATCAGAAGTCGCACTACTACAACCACTAGACCAACGAGGCAGTACTATACTTAATAAGATATTGTGGTTGGGTGATAATATTGAATTAGCCTTTTATAGTGTAAATTATAATATTTGTCGAAATTTTAATTATGGATTCGAACCTTACATGCTAATGGTGCTTATTTGCATTTACTTCAAAGAAAATACACGCAAAAAGCTTCATCGCGCAGTAAAAAACACAACAAATATATGTATAACTAATACGAAAAATTATACCCAACACAAACAAATAATACTACTTATAAATAACCTAATAAGTAATATTATTATCGACTGATATGACGCGAGTGTATGTGCTGGTCGACGCTCTAACGACACGGGCTTCACGTCGAAGAGCTCAGGGCTCACTGACTTCAGCAAGCCCGTGAGCAGTGAATATGCCCAGATTTTAAAATAAATTCTTAATAAAATCAAATTTTGGTCTTTTGAAAAAAAAAATTTACTATAGAAATGTTCATTAATAAATTGCCTATCCATTGGTGTAAATCGCAAAATAAAATAATACTTACTTTACGAGGAGATGCATGTTATCAATAATAATTTCACATTTATGTGGTTTCGTTGTAAGGAGATTATATTAATATTTATTCCTTTAAAAAAAAATGGATATAGCTTTTATGGAATCAATATTATGTAGAAATATAATGTGTTTTTTATTTGTTGATATATCTTTTAAATAAAAAGTAGATAGCTCCTAAAAACAGCACAAATAACGACTAGCGCGACATTTTGCTAAACCTGCGCCTTAAGCCAGCAGACAGTCGATGACGATAGTATCGCATGTTCTCAAGGTACCTAAGCGGATCAAATTGCTTGAGATTTATTTCATCATTGTAGTACTTCCTTGCCACTAACAGATCACATGCGTAGATATTTCATTCTCAAATCTCATTTAACGTATTTTGTACGTTCAGGAGCTGAAATGGCAGGCGGCTAAGATCTTGGGCTCGGTGGACTTCTTGGGAAACCCGTTGGGCTTCGTGGCCGACGTGTCAGAAGGCGTGTCTGGACTGCTGCTGGAAGGCAACGTGGGTGCACTCGTCAAGAATGTCACGCACGGCATCTCCAACTCCGCCGCCAAAGTTACCGGTAATATTCAATTTTTTATTATTCTAATTCTTGTTACTTATTATAATATGTGTTTCTCTATTTGTGGGAAATGTTAAACATAGTATCTATATTCCTGTATTTTACCATCAGAATTAAAAGAAAATCATAATAAATGTGGAAGAAAATCCATTTATTCTATGTTATCCGAAAGAGGTGCAAAAGGCTAGACATTTACAGATATATGATGATAAGATCTATCGTTGTCTGTCATCAGTATCATTTATTTATTTCTATGGATTTTGTTATAGTCGACTATTGGAAATGCCAGAAAAATCTTATGGCTTCTGACAGATGCCGGTATTACCATCTCGTTTACGCCAGACGTGAAAACGTAAACCAGTGACGGGTAACTGCTTGACCCTTACTAGGTGATGTAGTAGAAGAATTATAAGAGTAGTGATTGTGTATTGTTGATGAGATGTGTGTGCGTAGAGTCGCTGGGCGACGGGCTGGAGCGCGTGGTGGGGGATGAGGCGCACGAGGAGACGCGGCGCCGCCTCGTTTGTGTATTGTTGATGAGATGTGTGTGCGTAGAGCCGCTGGGCGACGGGCTAGAGCGCGTGGTGGGGGATGAGGCGCACGAGGAGACGCGGCGCCGCCTCGTTTGTGTATTGTTGATGAGATGTGTGTGCGTAGAGTCGCTGGGCGACGGGCTGGAGCGCGTGGTGGGGGATGAGGCGCACGAGGAGACGCGGCGCCGCCTCGTTTGTGTATTGTTGATGAGATGTGTGTGCGTAGAGTCGCTGGGCGACGGGCTGGAGCGCGTGGTGGGGGATGAGGCGCACGAGGAGACGCGGCGCCGCCTCGTTTGTGTATTGTTGATGAGATGTGTGTGCGTAGAGTCGCTGGGCGACGGGCTGGAGCGCGTGGTGGGGGATGAGGCGCACGAGGAGACGCGGCGCCGCCTCGTTTGTGTATTGTTGATGAGATGTGTGTGCGTAGAGTCGCTGGGCGACGGGCTGGAGCGCGTGGTGGGGGATGAGGCGCACGAGGAGACGCGGCGCCGCCTCGTTTGTGTATTGTTGATGAGATGTGTGTGCGTAGAGTCGCTGGGCGACGGGCTAGAGCGCGTGGTGGGGGATGAGGCGCACGAGGAGACGCGGCGCCGCCTCGTTTGTGTATTGTTGATGAGATGTGTGTGCGTAGAGTCGCTGGGCGACGGGCTGGAGCGCGTGGTGGGGGATGAGGCGCACGAGGAGACGCGGCGCCGCCTCGTTTGTGTATTGTTGATGAGATGTGTGTGCGTAGAGTCGCTGGGCGACGGGCTGGAGCGCGTGGTGGGGGATGAGGCGCACGAGGAGACGCGGCGCCGCCTCGTTTGTGTATTGTTGATGAGATGTGTGTGCGTAGAGTCGCTGGGCGACGGGCTGGAGCGCGTGGTGGGGGATGAGGCGCACGAGGAGACGCGGCGCCGCCTCGTTTGTGTATTGTTGATGAGATGTGTGTGCGTAGAGTCGCTGGGCGACGGGCTGGAGCGCGTGGTGGGGGATGAGGCGCACGAGGAGACGCGGCGCCGCCTCGTTTGTGTATTGTTGATGAGATGTGTGTGCGTAGAGTCGCTGGGCGACGGGCTGGAGCGCGTGGTGGGGGATGAGGCGCACGAGGAGACGCGGCGCCGCCTCGTTTGTGTATTGTTGATGAGATGTGTGTGCGTAGAGTCGCTGGGCGACGGGCTAGAGCGCGTGGTGGGGGATGAGGCGCACGAGGAGACGCGGCGCCGCCTCGTTTGTGTATTGTTGATGAGATGTGTGTGCGTAGAGTCGCTGGGCGACGGGCTGGAGCGCGTGGTGGGGGATGAGGCGCACGAGGAGACGCGGCGCCGCCTCGTTTGTGTATTGTTGATGAGATGTGTGTGCGTAGAGTCGCTGGGCGACGGGCTGGAGCGCGTGGTGGGGGATGAGGCGCACGAGGAGACGCGGCGCCGCCTCGTTTGTGTATTGTTGATGAGATGTGTGTGCGTAGAGTCGCTGGGCGACGGGCTGGAGCGCGTGGTGGGGGATGAGGCGCACGAGGAGACGCGGCGCCGCCTCGTTTGTGTATTGTTGATGAGATGTGTGTGCGTAGAGTCGCTGGGCGACGGGCTGGAGCGCGTGGTGGGGGATGAGGCGCACGAGGAGACGCGGCGCCGCCTTGTTTGTGTATTGTTGATGAGATGTGTGTGCGTAGAGTCGCTGGGCGACGGGCTAGAGCGCGTGGTGGGGGATGAGGCGCACGAGGAGACGCGGCGCCGCCTCGTTTGTGTATTGTTGATGAGATGTGTGTGCGTAGAGTCGCTGGGCGACGGGCTGGAGCGCGTGGTGGGGGATGAGGCGCACGAGGAGACGCGGCGCCGCCTCGTTTGTGTATTGTTGATGAGATGTGTGTGCGTAGAGTCGCTGGGCGACGGGCTGGAGCGCGTGGTGGGGGATGAGGCGCACGAGGAGACGCGGCGCCGCCTCGTTTGTGTATTGTTGATGAGATGTGTGTGCGTAGAGTCGCTGGGCGACGGGCTGGAGCGCGTGGTGGGGGATGAGGCGCACGAGGAGACGCGGCGCCGCCTCGTTTGTGTATTGTTGATGAGATGTGTGTGCGTAGAGTCGCTGGGCGACGGGCTGGAGCGCGTGGTGGAGGATGAGGCGCACGAGGAGACGCGGCGCCGCCTCGTTTGTGTATTGTTGATGAGATGTGTGTGCGTAGAGTCGCTGGGCGACGGGCTAGAGCGCGTGGTGGGGGATGAGGCGCACGAGGAGACGCGGCGCCGCCTCGTTTGTGTATTGTTGATGAGATGTGTGTGCGTAGAGTCGCTGGGCGACGGGCTGGAGCGCGTGGTGGGGGATGAGGCGCACGAGGAGACGCGGCGCCGCCTCGTTTGTGTATTGTTGATGAGATGTGTGTGCGTAGAGTCGCTGGGCGACGGGCTGGAGCGCGTGGTGGGGGATGAGGCGCACGAGGAGACGCGGCGCCGCCTCGTTTGTGTATTGTTGATGAGATGTGTGTGCGTAGAGTTGCTGGGCGACGGGCTGGAGCGCGTGGTGGGGGATGAGGCGCACGAGGAGACGCGGCGCCGCCTCGTTTGTGTATTGTTGACGAGATGTGTGTGCGTAGAGTCGCTGGGCGACGGGCTGGAGCGCGTGGTGGGGGATGAGGCGCACGAGGAGACGCGGCGCCGCCTCGTTTGTGTATTGTTGATGAGATGTGTGTGCGTAGAGTCGCTGGGCGACGGGCTGGAGCGCGTGGTGGGGGATGAGGCGCACGAGGAGACGCGGCGCCGCCTCGTTTGTGTATTGTTGATGAGATGTGTGTGCGTAGAGTCGCTGGGCGACGGGCTGGAGCGCGTGGTGGGGGATGAGGCGCACGAGGAGACGCGGCGCCGCCTCGTTTGTGTATTGTTGATGAGATGTGTGTGCGTAGAGTCGCTGGGCGACGGGCTGGAGCGCGTGGTGGGGGATGAGGCGCACGAGGAGACGCGGCGCCGCCTCGTTTGTGTATTGTTGATGAGATGTGTGTGCGTAGAGTCGCTGGGCGACGGGCTGGAGCGCGTGGTGGGGGATGAGGCGCACGAGGAGACGCGGCGCCGCCTCGTTTGTGTATTGTTGATGAGATGTGTGTGCGTAGAGTCGCTGGGCGACGGGCTGGAGCGCGTGGTGGGGGATGAGGCGCACGAGGAGACGCGGCGCCGCCTCGTTTGTGTATTGTTGATGAGATGTGTGTGCGTAGAGTCGCTGGGCGACGGGCTAGAGCGCGTGGTGGGGGATGAGGCGCAAGAGGAGACGCGGCGCCGCCTCGTTTGTGCATTGTTGATGAGATGTGTGTGCGTAGAGTCGCTGGGCGACGGGCTGGAGCGCGTGGTGGGGGATGAGGCGCACGAGGAGACGCGGCGCCGCCTCGTTTGTGTATTGTTGATGAGATGTGTGTGCGTAGAGTCGCTGGGCGACGGGCTGGAGCGCGTGGTGGGGGATGAGGCGCACGAGGAGACGCGGCGCCGCCTCGTTTGTGTATTGTTGATGAGATGTGTGTGCGTAGAGTCGCTGGGCGACGGGCTGGAGCGCGTGGTGGGGGATGAGGCGCACGAGGAGACGCGGCGCCGCCTCGTTTGTGTATTGTTGATGAGATGTGTGTGCGTAGAGTCGCTGGGCGACGGGCTGGAGCGCGTGGTGGGGGATGAGGCGCACGAGGAGACGCGGCGCCGCCTCGTTTGTGTATTGTTGATGAGATGTGTGTGCGTAGAGTCGCTGGGCGACGGGCTGGAGCGCGTGGTGGGGGATGAGGCGCACGAGGAGACGCGGCGCCGCCTCGTTTGTGTATTGTTGATGAGATGTGTGTGCGTAGAGTCGCTGGGCGACGGGCTGGAGCGCGTGGTGGGGGATGAGGCGCACGAGGAGACGCGGCGCCGCCTCGTTTGTGTATTGTTGATGAGATGTGTGTGCGTAGAGTCGCTGGGCGACGGGCTGGAGCGCGTGGTGGGGGATGAGGCGCACGAGGAGACGCGGCGCCGCCTCGTTTGTGTATTGTTGATAAGATGTGTGTGCGTAGAGTCGCTGGGCGACGGGCTGGAGCGCGTGGTGGGGGATGAGGCGCACGAGGAGACGCGGCGCCGCCTCGTTTGTGTATTGTTGATGAGATGTGTGTGCGTAGAGTCGCTGGGCGACGGGCTGGAGCGCGTGGTGGGGGATGAGGCGCACGAGGAGACGCGGCGCCGCCTCGTTTGTGTATTGTTGATGAGATGTGTGTGCGTAGAGTCGCTGGGCGACGGGCTGGAGCGCGTGGTGGGGGATGAGGCGCACGAGGAGACGCGGCGCCGCCTTGTTTGTGTATTGTTGATGAGATGTGTGTGCGTAGAGTCGCTGGGCGACGGGCTGGAGCGCGTGGTGGGGGATGAGGCGCACGAGGAGACGCGGCGCCGCCTCGTTTGTGTATTGTTGATGAGATGTGTGTGCGTAGAGTCGCTGGGCGACGGGCTGGAGCGCGTGGTGGGGGATGAGGCGCACGAGGAGACGCGGCGCCGCCTCGTTTGTGTATTGTTGATGAGATGTGTGTGCGTAGAGTCGCTGGGCGACGGGCTGGAGCGCGTGGTGGGGGATGAGGCGCACGAGGAGACGCGGCGCCGCCTCGTTTGTGTATTGTTGATGAGATGTGTGTGCGTAGAGTCGCTGGGCGACGGGCTGGAGCGCGTGGTGGGGGATGAGGCGCACGAGGAGACGCGGCGCCGCCTCGTTTGTGTATTGTTGATGAGATGTGTGTGCGTAGAGTCGCTGGGCGACGGGCTGGAGCGCGTGGTGGGGGATGAGGCGCACGAGGAGACGCGGCGCCGCCTCGTTTGTGTATTGTTGATGATATGTGTGTGCGTAGAGTCGCTGGGCGACGGGCTAGAGCGCGTGGTGGGGGATGAGGCGCAAGAGGAGACGCGGCGCCGCCTCGTTTGTGTATTGTTGATGAGATGTGTGTGCGTAGAGTCGCTGGGCGACGGGCTGGAGCGCGTGGTGGGGGATGAGGCGCACGAGGAGACGCGGCGCCGCCTCGTTTGTGTATTGTTGATGAGATGTGTGTGCGTAGAGTCGCTGGGCGACGGGCTGGAGCGCGTGGTGGGGGATGAGGCGCACGAGGAGACGCGGCGCCGCCTCGTTTGTGTATTGTTGATGAGATGTGTGTGCGTAGAGTCGCTGGGCGACGGGCTGGAGCGCGTGGTGGGGGATGAGGCGCACGAGGAGACGCGGCGCCGCCTCGTTTGTGTATTGTTGATGAGATGTGTGTGCGTAGAGTCGCTGGGCGACGGGCTGGAGCGCGTGGTGGGGGATGAGGCGCACGAGGAGACGCGGCGCCGCCTCGTTTGTGTATTGTTGATGAGATGTGTGTGCGTAGAGTCGCTGGGCGACGGGCTGGAGCGCGTGGTGGGGGATGAGGCGCACGAGGAGACGCGGCGCCGCCTCGTTTGTGTATTGTTGATGAGATGTGTGTGCGTAGAGTCGCTGGGCGACGGGCTGGAGCGCGTGGTGGGGGATGAGGCGCACGAGGAGACGCGGCGCCGCCTCGTTTGTGTATTGTTGATGAGATGTGTGTGCGTAGAGTCGCTGGGCGACGGGCTGGAGCGCGTGGTGGGGGATGAGGCGCACGAGGAGACGCGGCGCCGCCTCGTTTGTGTATTGTTGATGAGATGTGTGTGCGTAGAGTCGCTGGGCGACGGGCTGGAGCGCGTGGTGGGGGATGAGGCGCACGAGGAGACGCGGCGCCGCATCCGGTCCGCGGCTCCCGGAGCGCACCTTGCAGCTGGCCTTCGTGGCCTTGGCCTCGGCCTGCTTGGTGAGTCCTGCACAAGCTAAGCTTTAAAAAAAAGTACGCTGACAATTTTTTTATTTATTGTGGCATCGACTACAACGCTTTTGGCCTGATTTTGAGAAATTCTAATGTCTATTTAAAATAAGAGAAAGTCAATAATAATATTATAGAAACATAAATATCAATATTATAATATTATATCTCCATACTTTAATTAAAATATTTAGAGCTTTGAGTTTAAAAAAAATATGTTTATTAAACTGAGTGAAATAAAGATAATTTACTATCTAAAATAAATATTACAATACTAACCTAGTTAAATCAACAAGTTTACATTGGCCTTGTTATTTTTGAAAATGAGGATGAAATGTTTCAAATCCTAAAAATATACTGTAATTTTTAAAACGAGGGTCGAATGTGTCCAATCTACTAGCTTTTAATTTTTTTTATTTCACTTCCTTATAAATGTATTCAGGAGCATAAATGTCTACTATATTTACATTACATTGGCACAGTACTAGAAAATACTACACAAGTCAATAAATTACGCACTCCGTTCATAAGACCCTCCCGTTCTATCTCCCACCATTAGTACAGTTCCTACGTCACAAATTGTCGTGTTCTCTCGCTTTCTTCAAAGGCTCACGAAACGAATGCCTACATATTTTGATTATCGAATTAAAATATGCAGGCATTCGTTTCGTGAGCTGTTGAAGAACCTACCTATCGAGGTAGTTACGAAAAAAAAGGCGTAAGTGTCGGCTTGAAAATAGTTTTATTTGTTATTAATTGCAACGTTCCCTTCATACTTTTACGGGCTTAGGACCGGCAAAATTACTTTCCAATAAAATATATAATAAGAAAATAACAAAATTAAATGATTTACAGAGCAGACACGGAAAATAATTTTGGCGTATTTAAAAAGTAGCTATCACCTACTTACAACAATTAAACGTATTTAAAAAGTAGCTATCAGCTACTTACAACAATTAAACGTATTTAAAAAGTAGCTATCAGCTACTTACAACAATTAAACGTATTTAAAAAGTAGCTATCAGCTACTTACAACAATTAAACGTATTTAAAAAGTAGCTATCAGCTACTTACAACAATTAAACGTATTTAAAAAGTAGCTATCAGCTACTTACAACAATTAAACGTATTTAAAAAGTAGCTATCACCTACTTACAACAATTAAACGTATTTAAAAAGTAGCTATCACCTACTTACAACAATTAAACGTATTTAAAAAGTAGCTATCACCTACTTACAACAATTAAACGTATTTAAAAAGTAGCTATCAGCTACTTACAACGCACGGATTTATTTACTTTATCACTAACCTACAAGTATTTTATAAGTTGTTAAAAATGTCTACCTTCATTGTCAATGCAAAAAGAAGTCCATTGGTGTCAGGTCGAGCGAGCGCGGGGTCAGGCAACTGCGCCCCCACTACCAATCCATCGGGTACCAAACTTATCAGTTAAGTACTCTCGCATTGCGCGATGATAGTGCTGTGGCGCGCCGTTCTGCTGAAACCATAGCTCCCGCAGGGTTGTCGTATCGTACAACATCGTATTTACCATGGTCCGCATCAGGTTTAAATATGATTCACCTGTGAGGCGACCTTTGATAAAAAAAATAGTTTAATTAGTTTATCATTCAGTATTCCCGCCCACACATTTACACTAAACCCATGTTGATAGGAATGCTGTATGTTTGGGGTTTCGAGTGGACCACCAATGTTCGTTGTGCTGATTGGAATAATTTGATTCGCATAAACAGACTTTCGTCCGTAAACAACACGTTCGCATCGAGGTTTTCCAACACCCAATTGCAAAATGCCATCCTCGGTGCTCTATCGATGGTTGTCAACTCCTGGGTTTTCCTGTATTGGTAGGGTGCATCTCAGCTGATCGCATAATCTTCCAAGCGTATTACTGGCTTATATCGTAATGTCGTGCCTCATCATGCATGCTTCTCAGAGGATATTTTTTAAAGTAATTCAGGACGTCATCGTAGAAGTTTTAAAGTATGCAGCTCCCCTTCGTCGTTGTGCATGCACATCAATATTCGTCCAATAAGCGTTGGTAAATGCTTGGACATCGTGGAGTGAATCTGTTGTCGATTATTTGGGTACAATTCGCGAAACATCCGCTAGACTTCATTCATATTTTCCCCAGATAAAAAATAATATTGCATTCGAAACAAGCTCGACTTAAATGTATTCAAATGTTTGATAATGACTTTTTTGAAAACGCATCCTTATAAATTATGAGAACATTTTCAATAATAAGTACTACTAACAGTACTTAATAAAGTTACATCGATGAAAGATTTAGGGGTAATGAAAAGTTTTAAGGTTTTGTTTATAAAATATTATTTCATAATATAAAAAATGACGGGTTGGGGTGTCAGGCGGTATGACGTCGCTGGTGAAGCACAGCTACGAGGGCGCGACGCAGGAGGGCCTGGGCGGGTTCCTGGCGGGCGTGGGCAAGGGGCTGGTGGGCACGGTGACGATGCCGGTGATCGGCGTGCTGGACCTGGCGGCGGAGACGGCGGCGGCGCTGCGCGAGTCGAGCGGGCGCGGGGCGCGCGCGCCGGGCCGCGTGCGCTCGCCGCGCGCGCTGGGCGCCGGCCCGCTGCAGCGCTACGGCGCGCGCGCGGCGCTGGGCGCGCGCCTGCTGCACGCGCTGGCGCGCGCCGAGCGCCTGGTGGCCTACCGGCCGGTGCGCGGCGCGCCGCACGACATCCGCGCGCTGCTCACCGACACGCACCTGCGCATCGTCACCTGCAAGCGCGACGCGCCGCACGTCGTCATGGAGACGCACCTCAGGTACAAGCACACGCGACACACACCTATTGTATCTACACTAACTTATAAGTATCTACACTTTCTCACACAATGACCAAACTTAGACCCAGCATGAACGATGCTCAAATACGTCTTATTTTCAAAACATAACCATTTTCTACTTATGTCAAAAATCATATTTTTTAGGACCTGGTATTTTATTTCTATTTTATATTTTATAATTTTGAAATTAAAGTAGTAAAATCACTCTTTCTTGTAATAAATATAAATTGAAAACGACGTAAAAGAATACAATTTTGTAGTTATTATTAAATAATTTTATAGTTATTATTAAATACAATAAAGTAAAACTCAATCTTTTTTAATTCTTTGACCATTTTCTGCAATTATTAATAAAAAATGTCATCTAGAAAAGCAGCCGAAGACTGTACATTATCTGTTCTATTCATCTCATAACCCAAATACCACATTATTGTCATTATATGATATGTATAACCTACTGTCCTGTAATCCGAGAGAAAAGCCAAGGTTCAAATTAAATAAACCCATAAAATTAAAAACACGAAATCTATAAACAAACACGGCCACAATTCCAAATACGTATTACAAATCAAAACCACAAACTTAAATCTTCTTCAAAACAGACAATGATCAATGACCATACAGCCTATTTATTCGTGTTAAATAATATTCAAATATTTTTTTTTTAATTTAATAACATAGTCTATTCAACCGTTTTGTCTAATAAATTTCTTTTATCCAATATTAATCTGCACAAATTCGCCTCATGTTTCAATATTATGATTTTCCATAAGTATTTATTTTATTTTATATTAGATTATAAGTCAATAGATCAAGTCTTATAACACCGTACACACGTTTAGAATAAAAAATAGAGTTCATTATCCTTTTCCATAGATGAAATACAGAAACAAAAACCGCTTCGTTTCTGCTATAGTAAAAGCATTGGCTTTCGTTTTTGAATTTAATAATCTTGTCTCATATATTACAGAAATAATGATAAAAACCATTTAATTATGGTTATAATTTAACGTTTTATTACTTACATATTTTTGTATAATAACTGTTACGAACGATGTCAAACACCCAATTTCATACATCTCCTTTACGTAATAAAAACTAGGTAAAAAAAACTGCGGTTGCCAACTCGCTTACCAAACGTGACAACTATGACAATATACCCCCATGTATAAAGTCCCCGTGTAGTGGCTGATAAGAATACCCACTACCCATATCTTCCCGTGGGTGTCGTAAGAGGCGACAAAGGGAAACTGAGGCAGATGATGGGCAGTGGCACCTTTCTGATAACAGCAAAATAACAATAAAAAAATTGCGGATGCCAACCCGCTTTCCAAGCTTGCCAACTATGCTAATATACCCCCCATGAATAACGTTATGAAGAGACAGCCCCCAATCTCCGGCGGCCCCGCTATTCTTGGCTACGGTGGCGACCATGGTAACGGTGAGGCTGGGGATGCTAAGAATCTCCGGTGGAGATCATCCACGAGTCTCTCGTTAACAACGTTGTAAAGACTGGGAGTGTGGACGAGGGTTGCGTACCTTATACTCAAAATCATGAAACCATATTCACTGAGGTCATACAGGTTTATGCACCAACCTCGGCATATCCCAATGAGGAGGAGGAAGAAATGAATGAGGATATATCTAGCCATGTGATCTTCCAAAACCCACTATACTGTGTTGATGAGAGATTTCAACGCGAAACTAGGCACAATAAAGAACGGTGAGCTGAAGGTAGGCAAATTTGGAATAGGGAAATGGCACTCAAGGGATCAGCAGCTGACCGACTTTATGGAGAAAGAGGTACTCTTTCTCATGAACTCTTTTTTCCAGAAGTGGCCCCACAGAAAGTGGACCTGGTCGAGCCTAGACGGTTCAACAAAAAATGAGACTGACTTTATTATGATGACTAGACGGCAACTGTTCAGTGATGTCTCAATGATCGCGAGGGTGAAAAACGGCAGCGATCACCGAATGGTAAGAGGCACACTGAACCTAAAGCTTAAGTTGGAGAGCTCACGTCTCATGCAATCAACGCTCGTCTCCCTCGTGCTCTAATCCAAAGTCCCGAAAACTTTCAGCTCGAATTTCCAAAATCGTTTTCAGTGCCTAAAAGATTGCAATGCAGTGAGCTATATGAATGACAAGCTCGTGAAAACTGTCCATGCGGTTGGAGTTATGCTTTGCAAGACGCGCCGCAGAAGAACACAAAAACTCTCTGATCACACTCTTAATCTTATGGCTGGTAGACGAGAAATGAAAATGCAGTCTTTAGCAAATTTGACAGCATACAGGCAACTGAACACACAGATCCAAATGCATGCGGCGAGACTTACGCAACTTCATTATAGCTCGTGTTGAAGAAGCGATCGAGCGAAACCAGGGCTCCAGTCTTTGCTAGAGATCTGTCTGCCAGAAAAAGCCAACTGCTGAAGCTGAAGACAGAGTGTGACAGCATCGTTTCCGGGACACCTGAGATTTTGAGTGAGATTGAGAGGTTTTATCGGCAGCTGTACACATCATCGTTGGACCCTACGCAAGTGTGAGTAACGATACAAGAGCAAGTCTTATCCGACACTATTCCGATGATATTCCGGACGTCAGCCTGGACGAAATTAGAATGCTCTCCAGGACCTTAAAACGGCAAGTCCCCGAGCAAGGATGAAATTACTTATATATGATATCCAACAAAACTCTAAATTAACCCACTCTTCTAACAATATAAAGATGTTTAAATCAATAACCCCCGGAGCTCTGAGGTGCTAAGAAATAACTTGCAACAAAAGGTAGAAAAGGACCCCCACAATGCAATTTTAAAAATAACTTACAAACGTTTTCGAAGTTTCTGTTCCAACCTTATCAAAAAAAACTTAAACGACAGCATTATGGAGAACTTATTAATAAATCTGCTAATAACCCTCGTAAATTCTGGAAAATAGTAAATGAGATCACTCGGTACAAACCATCCAAGTCAAATAATGTAGCCCTAATTAACTTAAAACCGCTACCACTAGATTCGGTTGACTATGTCAACAACTATTTTGCTTGTATAGGCACTAACTTAGCTGAAATAATTGCTACAAATTTAGGTACTAGAAGTCGTGTGCTAGTAGCCCCTACCTCTAACTATACACAGATCTCATCCTTCGTCCTGCTAAACACTGACTACAAAGAAGTTGACAGCATCTTGATGAGTCTGGACTCTGGGAGCTCACCTGGATGGGATAATATCAGCACTGGTTTTCTAAAGTATGCTAGAGCCTTTGTGGTACCGTACATACGTAATCTCACAAACCTTTGCTTTGGAACTGGTGTTTTCCCCAGCACCTTAAAGAGGTTTATAGTAACCATTGTGCATAAGAGTAGGGACTGAGAGGATGTAAGCAATTATTGGCCTATCTCTGTCCTTACCTCCATCTCCAAACTAATTGAAAAGTTGCTCAGCAATAGATTAGTTGATTTCCTAAATAAATTTAAATTACTATCAAATTCTCAATATGGCATTAGAAAGGGTCTCTCAACTCAAGATGCGATTCTTGATCTCACTTATACTATAGTTGGTGAAGTGGACAATGGTAGCAAATGTCTTACAGTCTTTTTGGAGTTAAAAAAGGCATTCGACACCGTCTCTGTGCCTGTTCTTTTACACAAGTTAGAATGCATAGGTATTAGGCATACTCCACTCATGCTTTTTAAAAGTTACTTACAGGACAGAACTCAGGAAGTAAAAATAAAGAATTTACAGTGATAAAGTGACGCCTAGTTTTGGAGTCCCGCAGGGTAGTGTCCTGGGCCCGACTCTCTTTTTAATATACATAAATTATCTATGTAAACTACGGGATATCGGGGGATATACTCCTACGCGGATGACACTGCGCTCGTTTTTACTGGTAGCACCAGGGATACTATCCAAGCAAGTACTGATTAATCAACGTATCTAACTGGCTCAGAGACAACCTTCTTACCTTGAACCCAGAAAACAAACTACATCTGCTTCATTACTAACCCCAACCTGACCATAACTTTGCCATAAAAATACACACTTACTCTAACCCTGGTAACCTGATTTGCGACTGTCCTACTATTGAAAAAGTCAGCCAAACTAAATACCTAGGTATAATGCTGGACCAACGACTTAGCTTTTTTTTTTACATGGGGAAATGCCTACGCATACCCGCCTCGCGGGGGCAAGGACGGGTTATGTCGGACTCGCACCGACTAAAACCCCATGGTGTTCCACCCTCGTCGCATATTGGCAGGGCCACGGGAACGCTTTCGCACACTTCCGCGGTCCCACCTGCGCCGGCCACCCCATGGCGGCCCCTCCTCGGGAGAGGACCACTCCTCCCCATCTCCTTCTCCGGTAAGGCGCACCAGAACACATGGCGCGCCCTCCTCCTCGGCCTCCGATTTCATATGCGCAACAGACGCCCCCGTGTCCGATGCGCGAAGGCCATGGGGCCAGGAAAAACTAGCACTCAGAAGCACCAGCCTTCCTGACCCCAGCGGCGGATCTGGTCTATGGCTCCGCCGCCAACCAAGATTCGGCTGCGGAGGGTAGGGAGAGCGGCGCCTCGCAATACCGACACTCCTCTCCCCCCGCAACCCCACCACCACCGCATCATTTAACGGTGCGGCCCCGTCTGAGTCGCGGAGGATAGGGCGAGTGGCGCATCGCCATACCAGCACTCCTCTTCCTCCGCGACTCCACCTCGGCTGCAGCGGTAGAGGGAGCGGACACCCCTCTATCCGCAGCCCACCAACACACATCCGAAGCGGGCTCGTCAAGCCCGCTCGGAGTGGCCACCTCGGGCCGGCCCTACACCTCGGGCCAGCCAAGGGGTTCCTCTTCGTTCACCGTGGTTGACCAAGCCACGGCTACTAAGCCCCCCCGCCAGGACAAGGCGGGAACCCGTTCGGGGGGGACCAACGACTTAGCTGGCACTCACATTTGGAACTCTTAACAAACCGCACTAGGAAACTCATATGGGTATTCAAATCACTACGGCAGGTCATCTTCAACATACTTAAAAACCGAATCTATGTAACCCTGGCCTGTATCTCGATTTGGGGATGAGCAGACAAAACTCACTTTCTTGCACTCGAAACAGCTCAGAGATCGCTTGTCAAAGTCATCTACTCCAAGCCTTATCGTTTTCCCACTGATACACTATATAGAAGGAGTGGTCTACTCACAGTCCGAAAACTCTACGTTCTGAATCTCATCTTAACGTGCCTTATGTCGACCTGAGTCATAAAAGAAAGAAGGATGTCGTTGCCCCCGTTACTGCTGCACGTACTGTTTTCGCCAGAAGACAATATAGTGGTCAGTCTGTCCATATGTACAATAAAGTAAATATAATACTTAAAATATACCCCTTGTTGTCTTACACTTGCTGGAAAACTTTAATAGAATGGTTGGACTCATTTAGTTATGAAGATGTTGTGAAAACTCTTCATAAGAATTAATTAAAACTTTGGTGAAACTTAATGTCGGTACCGCATTACCGCATTTATACCCGCATTTATACTAACATACACGCTTACATGAACATAGTTCATCACACCACCAAAGCTGCAATTTAAATTTTACCAAACCATTATGCATGTTAATCATTCTAACCTTCTAGTTATAATATAGTTAATAGTCTTATTTAGCCAACCGTATGGGAAGTAGCGAATTACTCCCAATACAAGTGTCTACGACTACTTAAACGCAAAATTCGACAAATCTTTGTAATAACACTGGATAGTAAAGAATTCTTTTATTAATTTAATTTTTACGCATTGCTTGCATCAGTTATTTAAAATTATAATTTATGTATTTTAAAAATTAATACCCCGCCAAGCCATTTTAGAAACCCTATAACTTCGTTGTGGATAAAACTAGAAGCCTGAATTTCAGTAAACAAGTAGGCATTGTATAAACTCGGCATATTTAAAATTTCATTAAATTTGAATAAGTGGTTTAAGAGTTATAACTGGTCAAAGTTTCTTAATTTTGTCACTCACTGACTGACCGATCATCAAAACTCTAAGGCACTTCTAACAGACAGAAGCTTCAAATTTGGAATACAAGTATTGTTTAGTATAAAAATCCAAGGAAAAATTAAAATATTTTGCAATTTCAGTCAAGTTTTCGAGATACACCATTTGTATAAATAACTTTGTAATCCCATATAAATATATAGGATTACAAAGTTACATTTGCAGTGAATGAATCAGTGTACCTATATATGTATAATATAATGGATTAATAGGTGTAGATAGGTACGTAGATATGACTATCTACAAAAAGAGATGAGATGCCAGTAAAAACATGACTTGTAAAAATAAACCAAGTCTCGCAACTTAGCTTCTACCGTAAAAATTTGTGAGATCCATGTAATACCAAGTCGGTTAATTTATTCAGTCCCTACTTAAGGCTCCTTCTGTCTTAAGTTATTACGTAATTATTATATATATATTTACAAGTTATGTTTTTAATGGCATATATCTTTACATGTAATATGTTACATTTACATTAATATGCAAATATACAAAAGCGAATTGCAAGGAAATATATTATGGTGACGTAATTGTAAACAAGCTGAAATTTTAGAATCGACTGTACGAAAATTAATAATTTGGAATTCGGTAAAAATAGGTCATCATTACAGCCCTTCACAAGTCTACTGCTGAACATAGGCCTCCCCCAAAGAATGCCACAAAGCACGGTCTTGAGCCACCTGCATCCATCGACTTCCTGCATATCTTACCAGGTCGTCACTCCATCTAGTGGGGGGACGCCCTACACTTCGCCTGCCGGTACGAGGCTGCCACTCGAGAACCTTTCTTCCCCATCGGTTGTCGGTTCTTCGAGCTATATGGCCGGCCCATTGTCACTTCAGCTTACTAATCCGTTGTGCTATGTAGGTCACTCTGGTTCTACTGCGGATATCCTCATTTCTGAGTTTATCACGCAGAGAAACTCCGAGCATAGCCCTCTCCATAGCTCGCTGAGCGACCTTGAGCTTCCTCATCCGGCCAGCAGTGAAGGACCACGTCTCAGTTTCGTATGTCATCACTGGCAACACGCACTGGGTGTACAGTCTCGTTTTCAAGTTTTGAGGTATACCTGACGAGAAGATGTGTCGTAATTTCCCGAACGCTGCCCAACCGAGTTGAATCTGTCGATTGACCTCTCGGTCGAAGTTGGACTTTCTAGTCGGACTATTTGTCCCAGGTAAACATACTCGTCAACAACTTCGAGCTTAGTGTTCCCAACAACTACCGGCATAGGTGTGACATGGACATTAAACATGATCTTTGTTTTGTCCATGTTTATCTTAAGACCTATCCGTTGGGAAACATTATTGAGGTCATTGAGCATAGTGCTTAGGTCCTCCAGCGATTCTGCCATAAGGACAATATCGTCGGCAAATCGAAGGTGAGTGATGTACTCGCCATTGATGTTGATACCGTATCCTTTCCAGTTCAGAAGCTTGAAAACATCTTCCAATGTAGCGGTAAAGAGTTTCGAGGATATGACGTCACCCTGTCTTACACCTCTCTGCAATTGGATAGGTTTCGTACTCTGGTTCTGTACTCGGATAGCCATCGTAGCCCTACTGTACAAGCACTTCAACACTTCGATATACCTACAGTGAACTTGGCATCGCTGAAGGGACTGCAGCACCGCCCAAATTTCGACGGAATCAAAGGCTTTCTCATAGTTCACATACGCCAGATATAGCGGCAAATTGTACTTCTCGGACTTCTGTACAATTTGCCGAAGGGTATGTATGTGGTCTATGGTGCTAAAGCCTTTTCGGAAACCGGCGAAACGAAACGACGCAATCGATTAAAAACTATTATTTTAAATATATTATACAATTTCACTATTACTTGTATTGTAAAAAATATTTCTAATATTTTAAATTTTAATTGCAAATAATGTCGATTTGAAAGATGGCTCGAAGGACCAGTGTCTGAATTTTAGTTTTAGATATTGTCGTAATCGGTTTAAATATTATTTTAAATTTTAATGTTTTTGATATAAAATTTTATTTGATAGTAACCTGTAAATATTTTTCAAATTGTAAAATAAAATAGATTAAAATTTCATTCATATTGACAATTTATAAATTTTCATTTGTATACAATCTAATAATGTAATTTAATTAGTTCTAAATATAATGCAGTGAACATATTAAGGTTTACTTTATCGCATTACCTATATCTGCACACACTACACTTCAGAACGGGACAATTGTTCCGGGTGTGGGTGTTGTGGTGCAGTATGAGCGCGTATCGGCTTGAATGCATGTGTGTTGTGCGCAGCAACCTGGTGTCGTGCCGCGCGGTGTGCGTGGACGGCGCGCACTTCGTGGAGCTGTGCGTGCGCGGCGGCGGAGCGGAGGGCGGCGGGGGCGGCGGGGGCGGGGCGGAGAGCGTGCGGCGGCCGCGCGTGCAGTGCGACGGCGGCGAGCTGGCGCGCTGGCTGGCCGCCGCCGCCGCGCACGCCGCGCGCCTGCACCGCGACCTGGCGCACACGCTCCCGCCCCGCTAGCCGCCACCCGCCGCTCCTACACAAGAACCACTCCATACCTACACAACAACCGATCTACACCTGCGCTAACCATTATACTTTCCAAATTGCATAAGTTTGGACCAATATATTATAAATACTATACCTATGCCATATCCAATTAAAAATCTACCCAAATTTAAAATATTTATAGCACAAATGTTGTTTATATAAAACGGAATTCAACATTTATTCCGAATTTCAAATTTGTCTCATTATAATAATATAAGCATATTATGACTACCACTATAGATTTAATGAATAAGTTTTTTATAATACTATTTCATATTCAAACAAACTACACTAAAATGATTTAAAAGGCTTTAATATGTGCTAAACATATCTAGATTTAGATTAATTTATTACATTACATAATAAAATTCAATAGCGTATTGTCCTGACAAAAATATATTATACGTATATAAAAAATAATTCAGTTTAGACTTGCACAAATAAACAAAAAAAAAAATTACTTCTTATTTCTACTAGTAATAAAAATAATACCATGTGAAAATTAAAGATGTTCACTTAGAATGGCCTAATACTATATTTTAACTAACAACATGATGAGTATTACTTTACCCTTTCTTGATTATAAAAGTAAAGTTTTTTTTTTACATTTACTGCACAAATAGGCGGGCTACACCGGGGAAAACTACGCTCCCACAGAATACTAGCGTAAAATAGCAGCTTAATGGTACTGTGTTTCGTATAATGAGTGTAGGAATAACAATGCATCTACATTTTAATTATTAATCAAAAATAGATGTAGATGGTTATTTGCCACAGCATCCACTTACTATCAGGTGGACTATGTACTCATTTGTCATGTATATTCTATAACATAAATAATAAATTATATATTTGGTCATTACTAAATCCCATATTAATATTTATTATATAGTATACATTCCATGTTCAAATAAATGGCAACAAAGCATAGGCAATAGGCAAAGCAAAGGGCATCCACGTCTTTTACTGCCACCAGGGCGACATCACTTAGGAATGAGGTGAAATATTTGACAGATTGCTTGGCGTGGGAAATTAAATTGTTAGGAAAATATAAGAAGTTAATGTTTCTATCTGATATATTAGTTATGTATAATGTTAATTATATTATAAATGGATAAAACAAACTAAGAAAATCCCTTAAAGTAAAAGAAATTAAATAAGTAAACACAAAAGTTAAAAATGTGTAAAAATTAAAGAACACGGCACTGGCTCATTGTTTTGCGTATTTTTAAAATGCAATTTCTCAATTTTAAATTTTTTGTTACAAATAACTTTACCTCAGTTCCAACTAGCGACACCTGGTGAGCGCAAGATCATTAGCCCTCATTAACGGACTGTAATAAAAAGACATGTAATATGCGAAATATTAAATAAGCTTAGTTTAAACTAAAAGTGACAAGTATTCCAGTAACAATATCGCATACCTGATATTAAGATTTAAGATAACATGCCAACTAACACGACAAAATTATGAAGGACGTTCGGTCTGTAAAAACTTTCGTACAATTTTTAAAATACCCTGATATTTAATGAAGTATTCCTTACTTCACCACTTTTACATTGCTGTTCTCAAATGAACATCTGTTTAAAATTCTGATTGTTGTCTTCAATATATAGTGCAGTATTATATAAAATATAAAATACATAAACGACAAAAATAGAAAAAATACTTTAGAATTTTGAGTAAAGCAGTGCTTACGTCAACTCTATGCAAAACAAAAACCAGAACAGACAACAAGTAATATTGTGTTTATTCTGACCTAAATCACATCTAGGTCCCTTAAATAAGTATTGTCTATATGTAATAGCTGTATATATACATTAGTATAGAGAAATCTCATTGTAAAATATATGTATATGTATGTATATAATTAATGTAGGTATGTCTATAACGTTCGCACAATTAAAGGGATATCCGGGCGGCTTTTAGTCCATACAAACGTATACCTCTCATTTATTCCTGGATAATGGTAGGTACTAGAGGAAATATTTTTTACGGTGCAATTTATTTCTACTATTTCCATTTTCCTGTATTGTTTCTATTGTCAATTATTTTAAAAACTAGAAAATTCTTAAATAACTAAAACTGCTCAGTTATACTGCCACTTTTCGACATTCAGTAAACAAATTTAACGAATATGAAAAAAAATTAAAGAATAAACATACAAATATAACCACAACCGTTCTTACATTGTTTTTGAAAAAAAAAAATTCGATCCTGTTTCGAAATGTTAGGGTACAATCCTATTTGATAGCCCAACTCCAGCAATGTACTCTTTGTGCGGAGAAATATAGCGGTTACCCGGGTTTAAGTAGGTCGGTTATTCAATTACTAATGTGTTTTATAGTACCTTCCGTACAAGTTACACATGTTTTAAATTGGGAAACATGTCAATATAGAATTATTATTTCGTCAATTTTGCGTAGGTTAATCAGTCCCTAACCGGTATAGTGGCGGTGTAAGAATGTCCACTACCCCATATCGACAGTGGGTATCGTAAGAGGCGACAGAGGGAAACTAAAACAGCACCATTTTCCTGAGAACAGCTGAATAAAAAATAAAAATCTGCGGGGTTCAACTCGCCTGCCAAACGTGGCAACTATGGCAAAATCCCCTATGAGGCAATCAATAGGGGAAACCTATGTTCATCAGTGGACTTTTATAGGATAATAGATAGAACTCACTCTGTTGTCTCGCTCGGTCATTCGGGCGCAACGCGAGCGCGAGGGAAATTTTTAAAAACCTATTCTTTAAATTTCTCGCAGCCCAGATATCCTCTTAATACTTTGTAGGATCTATGTTTTAACGTTAAATATATTGACGCATACATACTAGTAGCACACAATTAAAAGATCAAGGTTGCATGTGACGTCGTAGCTGTCAATGTAACCACTCGAGTTTGATCGATTATGCCGTGCAAAATACTACAATACAACAAAATAAATGCAATTTATTTCTTCAAAATATAAACTGGCTAAGGATGGTAATTTGTAATTTGTACAAGAGGGCATTTTAAATAGGTCGACACTGTAGTCCAAAACAAATGAATATTTTGTAATAACGATATTATGTTTTTAAATGGTTACAAAATCAAATTAAATTAGTTTATGGTGCCGCTCTTGTTTTAACTGCATTGTAATATTTGGTTGTGATGATAAGCAGGCACAGAGCAACAATTATTGTTAATGTCATTTCATTATTGTTTATAGTAATATTTCACTTTCGTATTGACAAATTATTACATCGGTCTTAATAATGTGTCCATTTATTTAATTTTTGTTTTAATTTTACGTGGAAAGATATCGAGTAAAATATATTAATTTTACGTGGAAAGATTTGAGTAACATATATTAATTTTAGGTCATTTATGGTTGTAAGGTTTATTTAAAAAATTATATTTATATATTAGCTTAAGTGGGTAAATTAAAATTTGTAACACTGATGATCTTCGAGGTTAGTTTTATTTAGTCGTGAATTGTACCGGAGGCTGTGTTCTACTACTGTGGAATTTATTTATTTATGTGTTGTTGACATTATTTATTTGTATAGACATCAGTAAGTTAATTATAGTTGTTACATTTTAATCTATCAGAATTAGTTAAGATTGTATTATTTCTTTTATCTAGGCCTTTACAAAATATTTGACGTAAATACAGTAAAGTAAATAAATAAAAAGAACGACTGTCTTTGAAACAAACTCAGAATTAAATTTTTTATTGTATCAAGCACAAACGCCTGACTAAAAATGTACAATATGTAAAAGTTTTAGTGTTTTCTGTTTATACCAATTAATTTGCCTCGTCTTATTAAATTTGAACTGAAACAATGAAAGTATGTGACAAATATTAAACATTGAACCCCAGTGATGTATAATTTTTTTTGTAATATTATTTATAAAGGACTGGTCGTAAATTTTAAATTATTTTATAATGTCAACCAGTAATGTTATATTTTGTACCAAAGTGTGACTTGAAATTTTATTTAACGTGAAATTTAGTTTTTATGTGGAATTGTTTTAAATGTATAAATTCTTTGCTTCAAGATTCTTCAAATTTGAGCCAACGGTTGCACGTGAAAGTGAGGTGAAGCAATAAATGATGTGCGTTATGTATGTTTAATTATTAAATATTAAAAAGTGATTGAAAAACACGATTTTTATTCTATCCTTTACTATAAAACAAGCAATTTCCTTATACAAATTCGGCCTTATAATCGTTGATTGTCGTTTATTTAAATTGCGTTTGAATTATCTCTATACCTTTCTATTATTATTGTAAAAAGATAGACAGCAACTTCAAGATGTCTATGAATTTTCGTCGATTTTTATAAATGAGGCCGAGAAAGAAAGAGCGAGAGAGGGAGACATGTTTCATGTTTTGTCTCTCAAATGTAACATTTTCTAACGTAAAGTCCAAACACATGCTTTTATAAATTTGTTTTATTTCTTTTAACGGCCTCGTCGGTGTAGAGGCGGTAAATGTAGTCATGTGGTCCCAGGATCAAGTCCCGGGTCGGACAAATTCAATTATTAGGGTTTTCTGTTAAGAAATTATCAGTAGCAGCCCGGAGTCGGGTTTTCCCTCCTGCTTTGGAAAGCACGCTGTTGATCCTTCACCTTGTCCTCCGAGATTAGTTACCTCATTCTGCTGATTTTTGTATTGAAACATTCTGCGCTGGATTAAGCCATGTAGAGGCCCTCAGGCAACGAGTGTCCGGACCCTTTCGTTTTTTAACTTCTTATATCAACTAAAAATGTTTTTCTTCTCTAAGTTAATTAAGTTCTCATAAGTTACCTTTTCGCGGGCAGGTAGAAATTAACTTATTAATGGCTCCGAATATGTAGGTAGGTATGTATATATGTTTCTTCTTTTAACGACAAAAATCTTTAAGAAACCTCATTTATAAAAATTGATATAGAATTACCACCATAAAAACGAGACGTATGTATACTATACCGGTTAAACATTAC